CGAGGCATCGGATATCACTACATAGTATAAAAAAGTCGTCCCGCTGTCTGTCTGTCTCTGTGTATGCGTAGATCTTTAATACTGCTCAACGGATCTTGATGCGGTTTTTACATAACTACATACAATGTGATTCAGGAGGAAGGTTTATATGTATAGTACATAGTAGATTCAGTATCAGCGATGCACCCGTGCGAAGCCGGGGCGGGTCGCTTAAGTTGATAAATGAGAGAATGAAACTCAACCGACGCGCGGGCGCGTACGTTACGGCTACTTGTCTAACCGTCCGCCACGACACCGGGTACGGTTAGCGCAAAACGGAACCCCCTTCCTCGTTACGTGGAACCCGAGCCGAGGCGTCCGTGTTATGATAATACCGCGGAAACGCGAAACGCCGACACCGTGGTACCCACCCCGGCACAATGGCCGCCATTGTTCATCCGACGCCGCGTTGACAATGCGAGATGTGCTGTGCCGGCGGCTCGAAGCCGGTAAACAGTACAGGACGCTGCTAAATATCGTGGATATCTCTCGAATAGGCAAGCACACACGACTCGCTTTTTACTCCACTACGGTCGGGTGACACCTGCTTTTGATATGAGCAGGCTTTTATTTTGAACGAAACAACGGAAGCTGTAAACTATCGGACGATGGTTGTAAAGTAACAGTTTATAAATGTCCCACGGGTGGGCAAAGGCCTCCTCTCTACAGAGTGTATTAGGGCATAATTCACCACCTGACCCCACTGCGGATTGACGGACTTCATATATCTTTGAAACATATATTTTTTATTATTATTTCGAAAATGTGCGCGTTTCATAACGATGTTTCCCTTCATTGCTGAACACGCGATAAAGTCAGCACTTAAGATTAACAATTTTATTGGTGCCAGCACCAAAATTTTGAGCTCCGGTTGCTCGATTATGTTGAATCAAAAAAGCAAGCGACCAGAATCTGAGCGGTCACGGCGAAAAATCATTCGCGTGATTTTTATTTATGATAGACCCTGGGGTAGGATTGAATTATGTTTAGAAAAACAAGCCTTAGCAAAAGGGCAGGTAAAGTACACAAATTTTTGCTTTGAACGTCTCGTCTAATGTGAAAGAGATGACCGGGAATTTGTTCAGTATCGCTGCCAACCCTAATGGGGCCGCATTAGGGTTGGCAGCGATACTGAACTACGTTACGCACCATTTATTGCGTACTTAAAATCTGACGGCGCATGTCGTTTTTCTCATGAACGAAAGCGGCAACCCGTCTCTCGTGCTCTACTGTTTCGCAGTAAACGTTTATTGCATTTACCACTGATAACCCCTCAGCGCGATAAGTGGACGCTGATAATTTCGCTAGTTTATTGGCCACTAGTCTCTGCAGAGGGTTTATTACAGTTTTATTTGTAACATTCCTCAGGTTATCACTCAACGCCAGTTGTGGTGGAGTGTTTAGGTTTATATTAAGTAGACTAACAAAACAAACCCCTCACGAGCCTTATATTCAGCATACGCTAGCCAAACCTTAGAATTAGTTTTCCTAGGTCTGTTAATATCCCATTCCTTCTAAATCTTACCGAATCCCATTTCATCAAATTTTATACAAATACCTTCGTAATAAAATTAGGCTTTAACAACACTTTCTTGACAAATACTTTCAAATAGCCCTTGATCTGCAATGGGTTCTTATATATAATATGTAAAATCAATTCAATACTCTTACTTACTCAATAAGTTTCACTCAAAAAACTACGCTCAGACAGAGATGAGTGGGTTTAAACGCGGGGCCCGTAGCAATTGCTATACTTGTTATATGGTTATTCCGGCACTGGTTGCTGGAGTATATTGAATTAAAAGCGAGCTCACTAACATGTAACTAGAGTCAAATTTATTTATATTTCATACGGAGTCTTATTAACAACGACTGCTAAACGGAAACGATAACGCTAAGTGCTGATTGACATCTCCGAGTACGGCTGTAAAAGAAACTAGGCGGGCCTTTTTTGCTCTCTAAGCAATTGACTTCACCGCTTATCCCTAACAAAATAGCAGGCGACGATATCCAGGGCGTACAATTCAACAAGCGTACATCCCGTGCGGCTCCAAAGCGATATTACGAAGGATCGACGCGCGCAACGAGCTACGATCATCAGAATAACGATCTTCAAATATCATCTATTAGAATCGTCAATTAGATTAAAGATATTTTTGATTGAGAAAAAAAAAATCTAGTTACAATTATTACGAATACGTCTTGCTCATTACGAACGATTCATCCGAATACATCGTGTCGGAGTTTGAGCCGCGAGAGATGCGCGTGCAAAGTCCGGGACGGTTCGCGAGCGCAGGTAGACGGCAGGGGCCTTCCTACGCGGGTAAGAGGCGACTGGAGCCCGGGGCGGTGGCAGCTAGCCTTGGAAACCTGCCCCGCGGCGCTAATTTTATTTTGCGCACAAACCGGACCGCTCGCGAGCGCCGCACACGGGCCGGCCATTTCTAAGCAATCAACCGTCATGAAAACCGCCGCTAAACGCCTAAGACAATGTACGAGACAAGCTCCCACCAGTGAATTGCTCGCTTTAAAGATAACGTATGAGACCAGCTTCGACTCATCCAATTCCTTGCTTTAATATTTGATTTAGAAGGAATAAAAAGTATCGTACAGTCAAATCCTTGCTAGTTTTGATTTTAAACAAAGTATTTGTAATGTGTTCATTTTGAAGAGAAGTCAGTTTTAGACCGTTATTCCTCATCAAGACATAACCAAGTTCAAGTACTACTATTCAGAGCTTCCGGTAAATTATTGTACTCAATAGCGATCTTTGTCAAAATCTCAAAGTCCTAAAAGGAAACATCCAAGCAATAATGAAATTAAATGTCGTCAAATGTCTAGATAACGGGTATATCTAGAGTTTTCGTATTTGATTTAAAATCCAAAAGCTTTACAAAATTCTGGTTAGCATAAATAGGCGTAAGACGTTTCCGTGGATCATAAAATATATCCTAAAAGAGGCACTGCGTCAATCAACAACGCTTACATCGATTACATCAACAGTACTAAATATATATTTAATTATTTTTTCACCCAAAACGAGTTATTATTAATTAACGCGTAAAACCCAACAGCCTCTTCATAAACGTTATCGATTGAATCTAACGTGCGTCGCGGCGGAGGCGACAGTGGTGCCAACATAAAAACGCGAACGCGTGCGTTCACAGTGCCGTCTGCGATACAGATTAAAATATTATAATACGTGTACGAGGCATCACGTTGTGGGAGGCTGAGTGCTAACGACCGCGCGTCGAGCACATGTGCCGCGACGTAAACATTCGGCGGGCATAATTAAGCGCGACCATTTGAAAAATACGCGGCGCGCTGAATGCGACGGCGCTGTGCTCATTGTGTTGTATCGCGGGTTCGGAGTGATTGTATGTAAAGCGATGCCCCTTTTTCGGTGCGAATGCGTGTTTGTGATTTTGTCGAATCACAATAACATTTCGATATTGGAATATTGATTAATTAACTATGATACAATATGATAATTTAGTCTTCGATATTTATTCATACACATCAATTAACCACATCAGCACATTAGAAACTATTGTTTAATCCTTAGACATAGTATGAGGAAAGCGGAGGAGTTATATGAGAATTAAATCTGTGATGACTAATGTTTAATTAACTCATTAAACATTAAACATTAGTCTGCGACACTACGAGATAGCAGTCTGATCGAAATATATATATGAAATTCAACAATGATTATTTACGCTGGACAGACAATGAGAGTCGTTAAAAACTCAAACAGGAAATAGAATACATAACAAAGAGCGCTCCGGTGCATTGTGAGCGAAGGTCGTGGAGCTAACAAACACAGAGCGTATCGTACACGTATCGTACTCTTTGTTCGACGCCCAAAGGGTGGTGTGGAGCTCGGTGGCGTGTAGTCAATGGATCGATCCCCAGTAGACCGTAATGGTAGCGCACGATCGTCCAGCGAGTATATCGCACCATTTCGAATTATAATGCGCATTGTTCGTCGCGCGGTGTCGGGTGCAATGCACCGAGCGAATAGTCTCGTGTCGTACGTGTCGGCTAACGGCGCGCATCGGGATAATGCGCGCACTAGACATTTTGAAAATGGAACGCGACAAAGGCGATTCGCGCGCGCAAAACTCGCGCGGTCGGCCCCATTTATCGGAGAGCACGGTCCCGGCCTCGTACCAGTTTTGTGCGTGCGATTTCACATCGCCAGCATTGGCACGGCGCGGGGTCGACGACCCCGGGCGTTTGCGGGCCTAAAATAGTAGTCTTTTTCATCCTCGCGATCGGCGGCGACGGATCCATGTGTAATGTGTACCCGAGTCTGCAACTGCGATGGACCCACGCGGTGGCTTCGGTTTCATGAAAGGAAAGCCTCGCCCGGGGAAGTGCCGCAGTCTTACAAAATACCGACTTTAGAACAAGACCACTCCCGTAATGATTTCTCGTATTCGAGCTAAAAACAAGTTTAAATGACACTTTCACCGATTATATCGCGTTTTGTTTTATGTCTGTCCCGTAACCTTGAACACTGCAAAGTGTGCGCAGTATAGAGTATTATCAAACTAAAATAATTTCCAGTTACGTTTATTGACTTTCCGTTTTCTTTCATATCGCCTGACTAGCGAGCTATAAGCGAAGGACGCACACTAAAACTACGGCAGCAAACTGCAAGACCGCGCCTGTTGCGCTGTTCCACGGGTGATCACGGTAATCGCTCGACATCAGGTGAACCGCCGCCAGCTCGTTCGGCACCTTCCCCTAAAAAGAGACAGGGCTACAACGCCTACCGGGAAAGTGGGACGCGGCGGCATGACGGCCAGTGCACGAATGTCCGGCCGCTGCACTCGGCGCGCGGCGTCGACGGAATACGAATAAGACACCGCACGGGCGTAGAAAACTAGAAAGTTATTGTTACTCTTGACGTGATCGGGCGCACCACTCGTGCTGCGCAAAATAGCAGCACTCACCTCCTCGGCCAATTTCTCCTGGTCCCCGTTCGGTGTCTTGGCGTCGTCCTCCTTCGCCTTCTTCTCCTGCTTCGGCTTCTCCTTCCGGCTGAAACTGATCGACCTGAGCGACCATTTCTTCTTGACCTGTCAACGACACGCTTGTTATTAAAACACTCGGGACAAAACTGTTTTGCTTCACATATTATTTATCGCAATTAAGCGAAACATATTTATATAACGCAACAGTTTCGGCTGCCGGCACGAATGGGCAGGTCCGTCCGGGTAAGTACCACGACCTCAAAAAGACTGGCGTGAAGTGGAAGTGTCGGGTGGCCCACTTTATTTAAAGGTGGCAAACGCATATGCGTATCCCTTCGAGTGTTGCAAATATCCATGAGCGACGCTTATCACTTAACATCTGCTGAACCGCCACCTCGCTTGCGAACTTGTCACATAAAAAGATTTAGAATAAGCTCAGACTATGATAGGAGTCGCAAAGAAGCAAAGGATAAAAGTTATTACCTTCTCTTTCTTCGGTTTCTTCGCGTCCTCGGAGGTGGCGACTGCCTCTCCGTTTTCTTCCTTTTGCTCGCTCTCCCCGTTTGTTATTGCCGGTGTCTCCTTCTCCTTTCCCTCGTCACCTTCTTTGCCTTCCTTCTCTGTCGTGGCGTCCTTTTCGTTTTCAGGAGTGCCGCTGTCTAGCTGTTTCTCTTTGTCCTTTAAAGTGAGAAAAACGACCATACATCACACCGAAACCCATTATTGGAAATGAGGATTTCTTATCATTGGACTAAAGCCACACTGAAGTTTGAAATAAATTGTCCTCATTTATTACACGTTCGACTTGAAAATAACTAATTGACGGATTTCGCTCTGACATGTTTTAATAAATTTTAACGAATATTTTCCACGTATTTCTACACGTATATTTTTTAAGTTCAAATACCGGTCGTAGTTGCAAATGTTGCAGTGGCCGAATTAAAATTATTTTCTGTTATAAAATTTATAAGTTTTATGTATGAAAAAATATTGTTAAAGAAAAATATAGAAGTTAATAATTATAGTTAAAGAGAAATGTGAGTTGCTACCACTACTAATCCCTTACCTATTTTAAACGTAAAATCTTTCAATTCGCTTGGTTATACTATTCGGGCGTAAATAATTAACTCGTGTACCCCATAGATTATTGTCAGGCATTAACGACGCGGAAAGTTTGAAATAAACTCTGAAACAGTCTTGAACACGTCACTGCATAAATTTATATTTGCGTTTTGATCAGTTTAACCAAATTGGTACCTTCAAGCAACAAAGCCACAGGCCTCGGGCGTGCGTAGTCTAAAAATATATTGTCTCCGAAACCCTACGTCGCAAAAAACTTAAAGCCACACGCGGCGGGACGGAAGTCACGAAACTATACGGATTCTTAATGGCACCGCGCGTCTGTTGAATAATACAAAATTCCACACAAACAAACCGGGATTATCGTATACGTGTTAGCTTCGAGTTTCAATTGAATATGCAGACGTCGACTTCAGCCAATCTTAATCTCTGTTTCTAGCGACAACGACTTGACGAATTTAGAAATTTTCAGATTACTATATCTCACAAAGCCATATAAAATTACTGTTATTCAAATTCATTTAGCAAAAAGAATTCTTAAAATTTTTTTAACTTAATATTATCATCTATTCTAGTTGCTGCTTTTCATACACAAACAAGAATGCAAAGAAACACTTTATTTATAGAACAATCTAGGACACTGGCAACTACCAACCACTTGTTCAATTCGTTAGACTATTATTACCAGTAGGGAACTACAAACTGGCCCATTTCTTATTTATCTATATTGAAATCATAGAAAACATTGAGGCAGGAATACTATATCAAAATATGACACCGTCAAGAGGGATATTTCGCGGTACATGGTTAAATATCTTAATGGCCGCAATAGTTTTTTTTCCCCAAACGGGCGATACGGAAACCTACTGAATTGCCATAGGTCACACAAAAATGATCAAGTTTAGAACAGTTGGGTAAAGACAAAGATCAAAGGTGTATGTTTGTACCAAGAGTTCATTTGTCGTAAATAAAATGTTTGTTTTGGCAAGGTCCGTGACCGAGTATGTTTCGGAGACACTGTTTCAAATGCTAAAATGTCACCAAAACGAACGTATGGACGAGTTAAGCCCGATTCACACTGGTCAAGTGTTTAGTACAGTAGACAAGTACAATAAGTACAGTGGTGTAAATAAGCAGTGGCGAGCCGACTTGCAACACGCCACTGTCCGACCGTTTACACTACTGTACTTACTCAGCATTCAAAAACTCAACTGTGGTAGGGACACGCAGGAGTGTCGGCAGTTGCAAGAATGGGCAGGCTCGTCCGGGTAAGTACCACGACCTCACAGGAGACCGGCGAAGTATGACAAATACTTTCGCGTTTTGTCTGGTGAGTGAGGTAGCCGGAGCCTAATTTTGGTTGACCAAAAGGTTGTCAAAGCATCTGCAAACCTCGAGTGTAGCAGATGTCCGTGGGCGGCGGTATTCACTTAACATCAGGTGAACCAGCTGCTCGCTTGACAACTTTTCACATTAAAAAAAACTAAACACTTGACCAGTGTAATACGGGCTTTGTACAACATTACTTGACTTACCGATGCTTCGTGTATATGCGCGTCTCCATTCAGCTGCGGCTTCAGGGAGTCTGCGTCGGCGAGTTGCTCCACTCGGCCTTCGCCCCCGGCGCCTGCGGCGGCGACTTCGCCCGCGCCCTCCGCCTCCTTGCCGCTGATGTCCACCGAGCGCTTGCTCTGCTTAGCACCCATGCTTGCCGGTCTGGCAATAATTTCTCTTTCAGTACGTGGGGTCTTAAACTTGCGGTTCGCTTAATGTCGTGATTACAGATGCATTGGCAAACTTATAGAGTGCACCCCTAGCTAAACTAAGCTTTTTCCAATGGTCTGTTGTGAAGACATGGCACTTCTCAAGACGAACACGCTCCTACACTGTCATTGGTAAATACCAATAATGGAAAAATACCTAGTAATATTATTTTTTCAGTATAATTAATGATCATCTGAAATAAGACGTTCTACTACTATTTCGCTACATGAAAAAATAAAAAACGTACTTATTACTTTTTATTTTTAAAAATGTGATATTATTACTTAAAAACTAACTCTCTAACTTAAAACTCTTAGATTATATGTTTTTAAGTAATAATATCATCGGTAAGTAGTGATGAACAAAAGCGCTCAACAATCCTTCGTAGCACACTGCCCTTGATAAAATAATGACTGATTTTGAAAATAAGACTATCACTCCAATAATTATTACTTTTATGAGTCAGTAGATAACTTTTTAATTAAAATAGACAAATTGTAAGTGGAAAGTATCAAGATTATGAAAAGGGAAACATTGCACCGACCGTTTTGCTTAGTTAACAAGCAAACTTCCGTTACTTTACAAATAGTTTCCTTTAACAGCATACTTATAGTTTAAAAACTGAGACAAGATGTAGGCAAATTAATACTGCTAATTGACGCGCGGTAAATGTTGACAAAACCACTTTCCATTGTGTAACGCGACTCGGAACAAAACCCGGTCACAGGAGCTTTTGTAAACAAACTTACAATCCAAGTATAACAACACCTTGATTATTTTATAACGGATATGTCATAAAACTAGTCCCTTCGCCATGGTTGCGTGTTTACAATAAAGGTAGGATGCAACATCATCTCAGATTATATTTCGGAACCGAGACATGTACAACTAATAAAACATACAATACGTACAAACTAATAATGTAAATAAAGTATTTCCAAAATAGTTCTACAGTATGTGCCTTATGAACAGACCCCCACACTAGGCCTGTAGCCTGTCCTATGGGGAATGAATAATACGATCTACATTTTGCTTTATGGGATACAAATAAATACTAAAACGGGAAAATAGGAAAGGTATGTGCAGCATGGTGTGTGTTTGTGAAGGTGAACGAATTTTAGTAAATCAAAAATCATGGACACAAAATAAACCAGTTCATATAGTTAACTGTGACTCAAAAGTTGGCTAAGCTATAAGGCATTCAACTGAAAAAGGATAAAATAACGATGTCCATAATTGATCAGAGTGCAGTTTTACTGTCTCTAGTAACTCGAGTCGTTATAATAGGGAGGATATGTAAACTAATGCTATCCAAGAAAAACTTGCCTCATCAAATCGATCGATTGATTGACGCAACGAGTGATAAAAACAATGCGTTATGAAGCTCACAATCGGATCTCACGACCCTTTACTTCAACACGTGTTCCAATCGACCGACAGCGCGTTACATTACAAGCAATTGAATGCAGCAAACGATTACACGCTACATGTACTCCATCAGAGCAATTAACGGGTCGCTGTTGAGGCCTACTCTTTAATTGATCGCGCCAGCTAAGGCGTTTCAATTAAACACTTGGGACAACGTTAACTGACACACATTGTCTCCCAGTTTAACAGTGGGAGTTTCAAAAACTTAACGTTCGACTTGTAACATGTAAGCGATGCACCGTGGTAAGTTGACTCAATAATTGCTATTAATAGAATAAATAAAATAGAAATCATTTATTAAACAAATTCAATACAATTCGCATTACTATTAATTTTAAGCACGCAAGAAAAATTACTATACAAGAGGGAGAAAACTTTAATTTACCAGTGTCTTTACACCAACCAATTGAAGAATTAAATAGCTAGCCAAAATATTGTAAGAACGTACTCAATATAATGATCATAGCCGTCGAAGATGACAAAGGATTTAACGGCTTCTAAGCTGAGAGGTCTTTTCTCGTGTCCCAATGTCTACGCGTGTAAAGAACGGACAGCGGGTATAACGGGACCTTTAAAAAGGATGACGAATTGATTGTTTGGCTTTCGCGCTTTCTACATGAGCACAGCATGTTTACATTTAAGATGTCTATATTTTTCTGTAAGCACCACCGGCCAGATATATTCGCAAAGATCTAAAGATAAAGTGTTCGGTTCGGAAATAATCAACTCCTCGAAGTGCGTGGAAGAATCTCTCGACAATTCCACGGTGGTGGACCAACAGGACGATATAGATAGTATTTTGAACTTTGTAGCGTTGCACGGTAGAGGCTCAGCATCGATCTAATCGATGGGTCCGCTAACGATTCCAGCGAAAATGTCAATTTTGTAACATTCTAAAAAACAGCCAAACGCCAGTGACGAAATGAGATAGTCTCGACTGATTGAGCGAAACCCGTTCCGCCAATTTTTCTCGGCTCCTCGCTTATTTAGGAATGAAAAGTCCGCCAAAGGTCAAGGCGGTGTACGGATTTGACGCCGGGGCGAACGAAAATAGGCGAATCGGGCGCGCATCTGGGCCGACGGGTGCGAACAGTGGGTCACGGCACCGGGAATGAACCCGAAATAATCGTTAACGTGCCGGAAATAGAATCCGCGTTGCAACGGGACGCGGCGACGCTTTCACTGCACATTGGCGCGCACTCTAATGAAGACAGAGTATTCTTTGCTCATAGATATGCTAACGAGGCGGAGAACTTATCGAACAAGGAAACCATATTCGAAATTAAACACTTAATGTACAAAAATATTTAGAAAAAAAAAAGCAATTTATACGTTGCATTTCGAATGCGATTCTAGCTTTAATAGCCCGCGTTCACTCTGTGTTGTTCTTTTCATAATAAGTTTATTATTAAGCGACAAAGTATAATAATCCTGCGAAATGGTAAAAATCTATTAAAACCTGCGTACGGGCATCATAAATCGAAGGATCAATTTTTTTAGGCCGCTACAGTGTAAAGAAGGAACAAACGCATAATTATATACATTTCTCAATTATTATATTACAGGGATCAAGTAAATTAAAGGCAATCTTAAAACATGATTACCTAATATTTAATCCATTTGTTTATTATTATTAAAGAAACTATAGTTTGGAGATTTGATAATAATACCATATCAAAAAGGTTCTACTTAACGTCTTCCGACAAAAGTGATCAATTTACGAACAAATTATACGGTACAAAACAATACGCCAACCAAACTACATAGTTCAGCACATGCAGTTATATGCTGTGCGTTAAAGGAACCATAGAACAGAAATAAGGCAAGGAAACCTACCGTAAACGAATAGCTCGGTACACACACGACCACTTGAACAATCTTAAAACCCACAAAAACGATTCACCGCAACGCAATACCGTAATGAAAACGAGAGTGAAAAGCAAGGCGGTTCCTGCCAGACTCAGCGATGGAAATGGTTGGCGACGGAATTCCTAGCGCATCGAAACATTTATCGTTCATTATCCCGACAAATGTACAAATATACATAGCTGGGCTAATAGTCGCGCTTACGGCTACCATATATGCGGGTTCTGAGAGATTTGTCCCAATATTTTGATTGGAATAATTTCGAGTTATATTTCAAAGCGACCATGATGTGATAAATTTATTAGAATCCAAAATAAAAACTTTTGCAAAGGGTTTGTAAACACTAATAAAAAACGGATCCATGAAGCGATCTCGAAATACATTCGAACGATTACACCGAAACGAATGAGGTTTCCTTCGGAAATGAAAATTCTTGCGTGTGTGATGAAATTGTGGTAAACAGAACTGGCCTTGTGAACAAATTAGGATATTAGCATATTCGATTAAATACGTGTACATTTATTATGTACCCAAATAAGTAACGTTTTATCGAAAACTGTAAAAACTTATATCCACCTAAATGCGGTGGGAAATATGGCCGCCACCGCGCAGGACTCTGAGCTCTATCTCAGACAAACAATTGTGTGTATTATATTTATGTTCTCTGACGATCGCGAAAGCATACTTAAACAAAGCGCATATCTATAGAAAGTATTATTCACAGTTGATTGTTTCATTCGAAACCAATAAAGAAATGGCATGGTAACGGACGAGTAGATAAAGAACAAGTTTCGTAAGGATGTTCAAATAAATAAATAATTTAAAAGATTTCTTGTGCTTCTAAGGGACGTTACTTTATTTCGGGAGTAACAAATGACTGGAAGTACACCGCTAAAAAATTACAGAACATGTCGTTAAACATTTAGAAATCAGATAAGGAAAATTAGAAAACATTTTAGAGGTCATATACAATGTTTCGAAAGATCGTGGGATAAGAGCAAAATTCGAAGAATTTAAAGTTATACTACAAGTGTTTACTTGTTCGTACGTTTGTACGAACTAGATAATGCTGTTAGTAAATATTTTACTAAATAAATAAAGAAACAACCTATATATATGATGTATCAAGCGATAAAATAGTTTCTCCTGAAGTCTCAGTTCCATCATTTCATGGGATAAAACTATCCAGAAAAACTGCTATTTTTGTAAAAACGAATCGAAAACGAATTGGAAACATTAAACAAAAAAAATAGAGGACATTGTTAAAATTATTTGTTTTAAATAAAAGTGTCATCATTTTGAAAGTACAAGCATATCATGCTAACAAAGGAGTCCAGGAGTCCTTGCATTGGAGGCAACAATATTAATTCATCTATATTCCGAGTGTCAAATGGTCCGTCTATCATAGTCGTTTAAATTTAGACACACGCATTGCGGTCAATGAACTTCACAATCGCCCCACTACATTACGTTTTTTGAGTGGAGGCAGCCAACCCGATCTCATTGTCATCGGGGTTACAATAGGAGGCACTATGAGCGAGCGAGTGCTGTATCGGTAACCTTGACTGGAGCGTGCTCAAGGTCAACCGGGTAGATAATTCGTGGATCGAACGACTCTCACCCCGGCGGCCGCGACCATCTCGATACGAAATTACGGACGACGTTCGAACGTAATAAGGACAGGAAATGTATAGTTAAATAATTTATTCGACGTAACAAAGGGAGCAGGCGGTGAAGTAACATGGAATAAAATTTATTGTGAAACCTTACTATTCGTTAGTTTTAGTCTACTAAAAAAATCATAACTAAAATATTATGTACCGTAAGAAAACCTTAAAATCATTTGTTGCCTTTTTCTTTCTTTACACGTAACTTGTTATTTAGTCATTACATGGTATTTGATTGTTCTTACACTTGTTCTGGATACAACAAATAAGTTTTCTTACGTCGACATTATATTAACCTGTTGTGTAAAATGTGATTGAAATGCAAAAATATTTCTAGACTCTAGTCGAGCTCTTTCTTCATTTAGATTTGTTATGTATCATTCTATCAACTCTATTAAGATATAACTGACTATTATAATTACTCGAGGTGAACTGGAACGCTTAATGTAAAATCAGTAATAAACAAATTGTATAGCTATGTCTTGTGAGTGCCACAAACGACGTTAAAATTCCTTCGTTATAAAACAAAATATAAACATACAGATTATTTACAACCTCATAGATATTCTAAATTTCTTATTGATTGCGCTGAAAATTTATGATTATCCATTTATATTAATTACGAAAATACTTGTAGGGTACAAAAAATGTTGGAGCCCTTTTTACATAAAAACTCCCTCCTTTATAAGTCCGTTGAAAACCATATCTTCGCAAAAATAAAATGAGAAATTTTTCTTCAATAACACCTAATCAAGGTTTAAGTTCTAAGTTCGCATAAATCTACGTTGGTACTTTTTTTACAGTTTGATTGATTGTAAATTTATCAGATTTCCTACGATTTTTTCCGCTTTCTCAACTTGTAGGGCCTGTGGTAAGTCGCAAGTTCGAATCCAGGCAACTTACACGTGTTCAATTTTAGTTTTTCGCTTATCTTACGTGCAAAATCGCCGCCTTTGCGATATGGTTAATCACCTTTCGTTAGGGGCCAGCATGATTTTGGCTATCGTCCCACCCCTTGGTTAGATGTCATGAGAATTTGATCGACCCCCTCACCACCCCTAATCTCGCGTGATATTCTTCAAAATGCGTATTTTTTGATTTACTTGGATTTATTTTATGAAACAATCTAATAAAAGAGTCACTTTTGCGACTTTCCGTCAAATTTTCAAAAAAGCTCGAGTTTAAATATTACACACATTGACAAAAATTGAAGTGGTAAGTTTCTAAGCACGAATAACGAGGTGATTAAAACCCGAACATAAACGCAATCAACAGAGACCAAACGGACAATGCTGCCCTACAGCAGTGCGTAGGGAAAATGCTGTTCGAATAATGCTTGGCTGCGCTGCGCACTACATACGTAGGATGTGCCTTGCCGCGTAGATCGCTGGAACGGCACGGGCATTTTACACGGCACCGGACTCCGACCTGTGCTTGTGACGGCGTGAAATTGTACCGATGCGTATGTATGCTTAATAAATTGATACGGGTACAGCAAATCAACGCGTCTACCCAATAGGTGGAAAATCGATACCCAGTTGCGGGCACAAACCGCAGTAACGCTGCACCTTAGATATACTAGCCACGAGACAGTTCATATCTCTATAAGTGGAAATAGGAGAGTGGACCTGAGTGTTAACTAAATGTCTCAATATTTCTTTGATACATGAACAGCTTTAAAATAAAGAACCCTATTGATTAGGCTTATTGACAGAAAAAAGAAATTGGGTACTAAAATGCAAGCTAATTTTAATTGGCGCGCCATCTGTGACTATCATTCCCCATTTTATCAGCTTTTACAACTCTATGTAGGTATGGCTCAGGTTTTAGTGGCTGATATCGACCATAGCAATTTATTGACATATTAAAGGTAGATTTCACAACTAACGCTTCTAACGCCCGTCTTCTGAAACACTGATCATCGTAGATGTCAACTAATCAGCCGTCAAATGGCTTTTCAAATTTCATTTTAGTTGCCAAAAGGATGGTTAAACTCTTTGGATTGATCGTTCTGGTCATTAGAAGATCATAGAAGAATCAACCTCTGAAGTTTCATGTGACAATAATGTGTTTCCACATTAACTTTGTCTATACCAAGGGAGCATGAATAAAAAATAATATGATAAAATAATACTGAATTATTGCAGGATCTAAGTCAATTTTTCATTCAATATTAGTCAAAATTCAGAAATTCCAATAATTAGGTATATATTCATGTTCACCTTAATCACATTAGATTAAACAAAAATTTTGTGTTATAAGCAATAAAAAGCAACATGGGAATGGAAAACCTACAACTCTTAATTCTCTGACAAGCACAACAATGGGACCCCTATAATGTTATTACAAACTTTTGACCGGAAGCCATATTTAAGTCATTTACTATTGAGGGTAGGGAAGTGTTCAATTAAAATAATTGCTTTATAGTGAAATCTAAGGTTTCATTTACTACCAATTTGATCTAGTTATGCCAATTAATTAATGATATAAAATCTTTGAACTAGTAACATTAACTCATGAAAATTTGAATTTGAATGAAAACAATTTCCACATGTGGGATGGGATATTTTTCAGGGCATAAAACTATATGCAAAATCAAAGTCAGTGAAGTTTAATTCCATGTTTTATGATTATGAACTTATATCTACATAACTTATGACACAAAAATAACTGAACGGCTAAACTAATCAGTTGCAATAATTTTTTATCAGAAAAACTTAAAATAAAACATATACTAAGCCATTGTAAATATTTTTTTTTTGTTTTGTAAATATTAATTTGATTACAACTAAGTTGATACTTACCAAAGAAGTATAAATTTTTTAAGCATAATATATTAAAACTTATAATTGAAATATGTTACATCGCTAAAATACGTTAAGCACCATATTAAATGCTCGTTTTTGTATTATACCAAATATTTTGAGGCAGATAACTCTTCGTCATTTTTCATCTCCATTACATTAAAGAAAACCATTTCAAAGAAGTGAAATATCGTATAAAAAAGATTAAAGCTTGAAATTATGAATTTAAGTTTGTTAGGTGTGTACTTAACGACCTTTGTTAAACAGCTCTCACCGTGTAAGTTGCAGTGATGATTCATCGCTTGTTAGGTACTAATGCGCCGAAACTGGATTTCCCGGAATATGAATAATTAACATTATTCAAAAGTAAAAGTAATCAGTAAAAGTGGGCATCAATAGAAATGAAAAGTATTTATGAAAGAATTGAAATCATTTATTAAAATTTTACCGTACTACCTACAATGCATTTACCAGACAGCGCATTGCAACATCACAATATCCATATAATTTACAATGTTGTTAATTTTCTTTTCAAATAAATGAAATTATTAGTCTTTTAGATATTTCTAAGGTGTCGGGCTTTCAATGGAAATATTTTATATACTTTCAACGACTCTATATCGATTAACGGACCCGGCATTTCTCACCGCAAATGTGCAAATTGACATCTTAAATTGGACTTATGACAAAAAGTAATATTTATTAAGACTTACCTTTAAAATATTCAATCCGAACAATGAAGACAAAGAATTTACACGACAAATATATTATTTATTCACTCTCAGCACTCACAGCCGAACACAATATGGCGGGCAGCAGAGAACAGAATCCCCACCCACCTCGAACAAATTCAAAATTGAATCTTTTCGTGATTGGTCATTCTGATCTAGACGCTTCAATTTAGCCAACATAGTGAATTGCTCCTGTTCTGTAATCTGTAAATATAAAAGGTGCGTTCAAAAATTGTTGCACACTACGTAAAATGAGCAACAAAAAGAAAACAACTAAAATTCCAAAAGCCAATCGTTTAATTAAAATTATTAAATAATGTTTTTCAAGGTTAGTACGAAAATGATTTTGAGTCAATAAAATTCAAATGTTCAGTATTGTTTATATTTTATGTACTTTATTTCCTCGATCGCAGTGTTCGAAGGTATTATTACAAAAAAAAATTGTTATGGAACGAGTATAAATTACATTTTTACATATTTTTACTTTTATTCCATATTGTTTTATATAGAATATGTATTTTCAAGATACCTTTATAAGATTAAGAGCATTTAAACAAGTGCTTGCACTTAGTTATATTAAATTAAAATTTACCGTGCTCCCTAATCATTTTTTACAAATTTTTACTTTTATTCTATATTGTTTTATATAGAATATGTATTTTCAAGATACCTTTCTATGATTACGAGCATTTAAACAAGTGCTTGCACTTAGTTATATTAAATTAAAATTTACCGTGCACCCTAATCGTTAAAGCTCAATAATAGGTTTAACGTTTAACGTTTAAGGATTGTATATCCATCATTATGTTTTTACAAATAGATCAAAATTTTAAGAGTTATATGTTGTCATATAATTTCTCAAATTTTAATATTAAAAACATAACTATTTTATTATATTATTAGGCTAAATGTATTATTAATATATTTTGCATTATAACACTTTTTCTATCTAAACCTGCATCAAAGACAACCAAACAATTAAAAAAAAATTGTTTGGTCTATGGACGCATCGATATGTCGCGATACTCGTGTTGCCCTTGACTTCGTCCACTTTATTACTGTTTTTAAAGAATTCTTTCATGGTATTAATAAATGATTACATTCATAATATTTGTTAATATTGCTATTGTGGTTTAAAAAGTGCGGGAAGTGTAGTTTACTCTGGTGGTGTCTAAATTTCAAGTAGCGTCACCTGACCGTACTCATTGTCATTTCCCGCCATTGTGGTTATCGAAGAAACTAAATTAAGATTTTCTTCAATTATTAAAGTGTTTAGATGAAAAATCCATAAATTGTGTTATAATTGCGGCTAAGTAATGTCATTACACGGTAATGACGTTTGTTTATTAGAAATAGAAGACTATAACTTGTACGAAGAAGAAGCTTCGGATCACGCTTTTGCCAGGTAAGAACACCCGGCGTGGCTTTAGATTTTGAGCGCGCTAAAACTTGCCGTGGTGGTATTTTTGTGTAGAAATAAAATTATTTTTTTAAAGAAAAATAAAAATAAATCCAATGTTTTTCTTAAACACTTATGATTTCGCGGGTTGAAGTAGCTGTCGCCCCTTGCCGGCCTATAGTCAGCTGTTGGGCCGCCATGTTTGGTAAAATCAAATAGGCGTAGTAAGCGCTTCATTTACTAACGCGCTATTTCATACACATGTGTTTGTGTACTACCAGTATCATTGATTATAATGTGACATGCCCAACAATGAAATTTTTTTTGTACCATTTATGCATTTAATATTATCAAATACGTTTGTGGATCAAAATTTGTTGAAAATCTATTTGCATGGAGTTATATTAATTTTTAAAATAATTATAACTTATGACATGTCATGATTATATGTTAATAATTTTTGTCTTATTTAAAAATATGGTCTATTTTCTCATTATGGGTGCGTAGGGGTATTTATTGTCAATTAAATGTATTTTTTGAGCATATAAAATGGACTATTACTTATGAACACCAAGATTTATTTTTAAGCAGCTTAAATTTTTGATGCATTATTTTTCAGGAGTGAGAAACATTCAATGGGCAGTAAGACTATGGAGGCAGAAAAACGAATTCGAAGAGAGATTGCTAACAGCAATGAACGTAGACGTATGCAGAGTATTAATGCTGGTTTCCAGGCCCTACGCACTTTATTACCCCGTCATGAAGGAGAAAAGCTCAGCAAGGTTTATTATTGTTCATTTCATATATGATAATATTTTCTTTTATATACATATGCAATAGTAGTAACATAATTAAAATATTTTTTATTTAATTATGTTCAATTATATAAAAAAATGAAAGTGGTATTTGTTTAAGTAAATTTTTACTTTTTGTTATAGGCGGCAATTCTGCAACAAACTGCTGAATATATTTATTCCTTAGAACAAGAAAAAACAAGGCTTCTTTCACAAAACTGTCAATTAAAGAGATTGTTAAATCAACATGAAGGAGGGGAAATACCACTAAAGAAAAGAAAAAGTGAAATTCTTTCCCATGTGTCTTCAATAATTCCAGACTCAACAGATGATACAGTATCAAAATCAAGATCACCTGAACCAGTTGCCTATATTTCCTTTGCCTCTACAGGCCAACAAAAGAAGGAAACCGAAAGTACCGAACTCAAAACTCAGCTTGAACAAGAAAGACGACTGAGGCGATTGCTCGAAGAACGTCTACATTCGTTGGAGTCTCAAATGTACTCAGATACAGGCCGAGACTTGACCCGCCCAGTTGCACACTATGAGCAAACTGACATTGCAGTTTGCAAAACTGAAGGTGAGGAAACTGAGGCACCTGTAATTGAAACTCCAACCGTAGCGCCTTTATTAGAAGCCGCTATCAAAGCAGAACCTAGAGTAGAGGTGGAAGTGTTGCCAGACGCAACACACGACGCACCTTCGCGCCTATATCTAGCAAGTACAAGTCGCCAAAATTTGGAAACAATTGTGGAAGCCATTCGTCATTTGGAAGGGGATCACTTATTCCGCGAGGAGGCTGGTGACGCTCCATTAGCGTTGACGAAGAAAGTGGATCGGGCGCCGCCTCCGCCTCCGCCGCGGCCTGGTGTTATTGTCGTGAAGCATTCGTGATTGCGTTAAGCTAGTCGAACTCTAAAGCTCGAGAAAGTCCCCGATCTATGAGCACTCCCTGAACCTCCTCGAATATAGATTATAAATTTTTTAGTTGTTAAATTGTCTTTTCCAAAGTGACGAATCGATAAGTCTGCGTTTTTTTATTTTTTTACACATTGATGTCAAGAATGGACATGTGGTTTAAAGAATGAATGCATTGTGGCATTAAACAGTCGGCACTGTGCTTAGTTTAGTCTCAAATGTATTGTAAAACTACTGTTTAGTTTACTGTGGCTTACTGCAGTAGTCTTGATGGAACCTGTAATGACTGACTTACATAGAATTAGGATGTGAGAATAAGTAATTGAAAATGCCGCGTGCCAATGTTAATTTCTCAATATCTTTAAATAATTAGTCAGTAGATTATATTGGTAATAACATAATAACAAAATCAGGAAATGGATTTGTATCATTTATTACTATAGGAAATATATAAAAATTGTTAATGTTTAAAATTACCTATCATGATAGCAATAATGATAAATTGAGATTTATACTGCATGGTTGTTTTGTAATCTTACAGCAATATATAAATCAAGAATTTAGAATTCTAGATTGAAAAAGTACTTTTATCAAGGCATGCGGCTATGTAAGTTGTTTTCAAACATCTTTTACTCATTTAAACAGTATATAGCGTAAAATAATTATGTTTCAGTCATCAATGGTGGCAGTACTCAGATATGCTAAAAAATATGTTTTTAATTGGTGAAACTTACACTACAGTGAATTTTATTTAAAATTTATTTTACAATTATTTGTCTGAGTATTATTACCACTGAAATTGCTTCTTTTTCATTCTATACAATTTTTGTATGTGTTTTGAATGCTCTATAGGTTATAGTATGTCTACAGTTTTTATGTAATTAAAACATTAATTTATATTTAATAACCTTAAAATTAGAGTAAATAAAATCCAGTGTTGAATTGGTTGAAACCAACAAGTCCAGTGTAGTTTTGTGTTTAAAGACCCCTGTGGTTAATTTGTATTTGATACTATTGATAGTATCAAACCCTCATTAATTGGGACAGAAATTTTTAGAGCATTCCATATGTTCGAATCTCTTCGAGCATAGTTTAGAATAATACTTATGTGGTATAGTTTAATTGGATCATGAATTATGTTTATTCAATTAAACTAATTATTATACTGCTTAATGTAAGCATAGTATCTGTTTAGGACTTGTTTCAATATGTACACAATTTGCATAAATTTAAATCTTTCAAGAAGGCAAAAATTGCTATTCTAACTATAAACAAAAAACTGATTCCCATGAGAATGGCAAATTCAGTGATATATTTGCTATTGATCGGGTAAAGTTTGCCTCATAATACATTTGGTATTAGAGCATACTAGCAGGCTGCAATTGTTGCCTGAGTGTCTTTAAATTTAGCTTTGATATTATCAATTTATAGTCAAATCTACAGTTTTTATGGTGATTTAATCATCGACATTAAAAATTAAAAGTTTCATGCAAAATTTAAAAATACTTCTTTATAGGTTTAAGGTTCAAGGATGAAATTGATCCATGTTTAGATAAAACAGTCTAAACGAGATTTAATTCTTGTTCGCTTCAACTTGCTGACATTTATTTTGTTTAAACTTAACCAGCAGTGCTTTTGTTAATATTTTTCTTTTATAAGTTTGAAACTTGGTTAGTTATGACTCGGTAACAGAGTGATTGACAATGTTTTAAGCGGAATTAGGGCCATGATCCTCTGTCAGGGATCATATGAATTTGTTAAGACTGATCATTAATTCATTATTAAGTTACGCTAGTTCGAGCCACCATACTGGTAGTGTTAGGATGTGTGTGATTGTGTGTTTTGGTTAGCTATTTATGTGGATGTATGATAAGGTAATAAAAGTGAAGTTTCAATCTAATAGTTTTACAGAGATTCCCATATTTTAACATTAGCAATTAATTAAGTTGATGATTTTATATTCTCATGTATTCTTGGGTATCTGAAATAAGTACTACATGTGGAATCTCTCTAACACTTTTGGATGTGTTATGTTGTGTAGTCCCTTAATATGATTTATGTTATTTATTTCCTTTGCATTTCTTCTTATATCAGAAACCACCAGAAAAATTCCAATGCCAGTAATACACTATTGCAACTTTGAGGCTAGTTGTTTGTTTTTTTATGCAAGCATATTGAAAATATGTGCAAAAATGCTACTTGTCATTTACTTTAGAGTTCAAAAATCTTTTGTTACAGTTGTGCTTCGACTTACCATTTTTTTTCTCATGGTTTTTTGTTCACAAATGTATTACAATACAGTATTTCTGATATGCAAGAATGTCTATACCTAAATAGCTCATTATCACACTCTGTTTCTGAGTCCATAGTTTTAAGGAGTTGTCTGCCTACCGCCTTTTACATTATGTCAGTATAGGATAATTATTAACAATGTAATATAACGGACTTGGTTATACTATTAGTGTAGTCAAAATATCTAGAACATAAGAGATTATAAGTCAAAGAAAGCAAGTTAAATTGTTTAAAATGTGTTATTATTTATGTCTTAAAGTATTAAAATGGTTATTTCTTATTAATTAGTTTGTAAATGACAATTATCAGTATGTTTATTAAAGTTTTTTACTTTCACATAATACTAAAACCAATAAAACTTTTGTCTTTAACGTGCACATGATATTCCTTAAAATATGGTGGAATTTGCATTTTCGTCATGAAATGTTGTGAGGAATCCAAGTTATTTTGTTTGATTCCTGATATCAATGTATGTCCTATACTAGTAGTAAAAATATATTCATAATTTTTTGTCTATGTGAAAAATTGGAGCTGTATTTTGTACATAGGTACCTTTTATATATTATAACTTTTAATATTTTCAAATGCCATTAAAATATATGTAAGTTTCTTAAAAAGTTATGTTTTATTGGTTTTCAGTGCCAGTGAATGTGAATATAAAATTCCATTTTCTACACTCTATCGCATGTTTTGAATTCAATTAAGATCAAAGGTGTCTTTGATGTCATGGATGTAAGATCTTTCTAATTCATATTTTTGCATTTAAATAAGTTTTGGTTGAAATAGGTTTATTTTAAGAAACTTTTAGATTCAGTTTAGCGAGTCTAAATTCGGAGGTAGGGTGAACATAATTACTGTATGCACTGAACGATTTTATAATAATGTTATGCAAGTTTTTTTTTTTCTAAATATTTTCACCCGACCTCTAACAGACTCAAGTTCCTATACACGATAGTTAGTTATGATGTAATTTTTACAGTTCGTAATTAAGATAATGATAAAGTGTAGAAAAACAATGCAAGGATGTTTCCTTTTTGATATGAAGTTGATAAAAATATATTTCCTCTCATTTTAATTGTACCACATTTGACCTACATTTGCGAATATTTATAAAAGATTGATATGCAAGTGTTTTATTTAAGCTCCCCAAAAATGCTCAACCTTCAGAAAGAAAATAATTTCAAAAATGTTATGAAATTTCAATTAATATGTAATGTAATAAGCAAAACAGACTAAGGCACGAGTATTTTTCATTGATTTGTTCAAAGAGATTAAAATAATAACTGTTGCTTCTCAGCTTGAAAATATTATGTATGCCCATAAACACAAGCATGAATTTTCAATGCATGCGAATATGCAAGGTTTAAATACTAGAAACAAACATAAATTAATTCTCCCCACAACTAGACCGCGTAGAATAAATAATTATTTTATGGGACAATGTATCGATTTCTAAATTCAAAAAAATTGTAAAGGAACGTTTGTGTTAAAGGCTAATAAAATATTAGTGATTATATAAATGATAACACACCCTGAAAATGAATTGATCGCTCCAGGCTCTTTCATGTGGACTTCAATACATCTGTAAACATATTTATTGTCAAATAATGGCAAAAAAGACCAATTTTTTTTGAATTTGAGCAAAATTTATTATCGATATTCAATATAAATCCAGAGATTAGTTATAAAATTATTTATCACAACCCATCCCTTACTTTATTTAGATTAAAAAAAAACCCCTACGTTTTCGCCCACCGCCGCATAAACTACATTTTATATCGTGCTTAAAAAGTAACCTTCCTTAACAAATAGGCTATCTAAGTGCAAAAATTTTTTCAAATTGGACCAGTAGTTCCTGTATTTGCGAGTTCAATCAAATACGCTTCAATTTTATAATATTACTACAGACCTGTCTGACAGTACCTTGTTCTTGGCTCTTGGTTATTCTAACAGTACAAAAAAAATATTATTATACATCATGTTATCAAGTTAAAAAGTTATGTTATAAAGTTTTTTTAGTTAGCATTTTAATCCACCCAGTGCTGGTGGGTTGTATTCATAGATGGCTGATCGTACAGACGTTGTCCTGTACACGACTTAAATTCGACAACTTAGAAATAAATAAATCATCCGAATCGACCTGAAGTCACATAAAATTTTTCATTAAAATCGGTCCAGCCGTTTAGGAGGAGTTCAGTGATATACACACGTACAGAACAATTATATATATATATAAAGATGGTACGGAACCATTCGTGTGCGAGTCCGAATCGCACTGGGGCGGATTTTGTTAACTTTATATTAACTTACAATCATAATTTTACAGCCCATATATCATTTTATCGCACAAATCTTCAATGTGGTTCTTTAAGGATGTAACTTTTTTATTTATGAAGCGATTTAAATAAAACTTACGCTAAATGTTTTTTTTTTACTCATGTTAACGCTTTCAGTCCCGAGACTATTAAAGCTTCATCAAACGCAGAACCGGTGGGCTAGCCAGAACCCACGGGTTTGAGGCCCTCCACAGTCCGAAGGCGAGGACGAACGAACACGAACTATGGTGTTTGTTGTTGCACTAACTGTGTGTAGTGTTATCTGGCGGGACCCTTGATGATGGGTCCGACGTACTTAGGCCTCTTCCTCGACCGAGTCCTTGAGGGCGTTGTGCGGACGACGCTTATTGACGCTCGCGGTAGTGTCGGGTCGGTAGTTTGCTGCGCTTACCACCAGAGGGTTGGGATGGTGTTTGGGTCTATTGAAGAATCGTTTGGTTAGGTCTTTTAAATGTTCACGAATCGTCGGGAGTCTACAGTCACTATGCAGGTCGACGTTGGGTTGATACTGATTAAGATTGACTGACTAAGATTGCGCAACCGGTGCGCAGTGGATGAACTTATTTTGAACGATTTGTAACTTGTGCAAACGAGTAGGGTGCGTGTGGACGAAGGTTATGCATGCGTCGGACGTAATAGGTCATATGCAGGTCTTATTTAATAATAATTTATGCTTCAAGGACATTTTACTGGACGCATTGGTTAGGTGATGGAGCCGGCCGTATACGAACGCGGCTCTGTTTCTAACGATACTTTTAGTCGACATGCTAAATGTTAAGTGAAGCTTACTACAAATGCGTTGTAAGTTGCATCCAAATCGGTTCAGCCGTTTCGGGGATTAGCGCGCACGAACGGACAAAAATTTTAACAATCATGTCATAAGCGTTAATAAAGACCTCAGACTCAGTTTTTCTCAAATATCTTCCATGTACAGACAACGATCAGTTAAATTTTTATTATAAATGATTAATTTAATATAGATTTGGAATATAATTATTGACTGTTCTCAATTATATATTTATTTTGATTTTTAAAATTCGCATTTAGGTAATGTATTAAAGATCGAGAAGTTTTTATTATTTCTAGCGTATCTTTACGCTAGAAATAATAAAAACTACGAGCGAATAACGAGTTGACCTAAATAAGGCTTCTGAACTAATTCACAGTTCTATTGAGCAGTGTTCTCACAATGTCACTACTACGAGAGCGGTGGTGTAGCATTGCCCAAACCCGTGGGTTCTGGCTAGCCCACCAGTTCTGCGTCAGATGAAGCTTTAATAGCCTCGGGACTGAAAGCAAAAACATCAGTTAATACATTAATACAAGGTGGTGTAGCGATTATGAATGGACGGCCCTCGTTGCCGGTCATATTAAAAGGTACCTATACCTTAAAGGTACCTATACCTTAAAAAATTAGTTGCTGTATATATACAACTACTATTTTTTTTCAAATTGAATTGGAAGGTAAAATAACTTTAGAAGTCTTTTAAGTTCCTGTAATATATCGTAGGCTACTTACAAAAGTTTACAAATATGAACGCCTCATTACAAAAAACCTTCTATTTTCTATTATTAGCTCAGATATCTCTAACTAAACCTTTGATTACATACTTGTTAAGTATACAGGGAGATTTTTTGAGAAGTGCTCAAATTTACACAGGTGGTTCAGACTCGGTAGTATAATTGTTTATTGAAATAAAAAACATTGCCATTCTATTCCCTAAAGAACAGAACGTGTTGACAATGCGGTAGTCATTCATAAATACCTTATTTTACTGTGCACGAACTTGTGTTAGTTATGAATGATCGCACGTAAAATAAATGAGTTGCCCATAAATCACGCATTTGAGATAAGTTCAAATGAATGTATTTAATTACTTACAAGTGATTTAAAATACTTATCATTTTTTTTTCTTTCTTTACTTCAGTGTCTGTTTATTTTAAGCCATTAGTAACTTAACTTCATTTTGTACATAAATATTTAATAATGTCGTTTAATTATATTTCGCCCATGCCCTTGTGGAATTTCATACTTTTTAAGATTCATGGCATCGATATATTTTTTTATAATTATTAATTTAAGGTAATTATGCAGGTATACTCACGCTATTTTCCTTCGAACACATAGTTAATCAGGATTTAAAGGTGCAACAATTTTCATACGGGTGGTACCAGATTTGAACCATAGTATATAATGCTTTTAGGATTATGCGCTCTAACACTGATATTTTACGGTGTTCGGTGGTAGGAACACCGTAAAATATCTTGAATATAAGAACTTTCCCCATAGTAGAAAACATGAACTGCATGTGGGAATTATGCAGAGACAGACTTTTATAAATAAACTAGCGATCCTCCCCGGCTTCGCACGGGTGCAATGTATTATACATATGAACTTCTTGAATCACTGTATCTAGTAAAAAAAACCGCATCAAGATCCGTTGTGTAGTTCAAAGATCTAAGCATACATAGGGACAGACAGACAGCGGGACGACTTTGTTATACACTATGTAGTGATGCACAGCAAAGAGACGTTTACATTTCAAGTGACATTATACCACAGTCACTCACTTGTTTTGCCTTCCCGGAACTCCTCCACTAACACTTAAACTTTATGGCACGGCATTAAAGTTCAAATTGACTTTTAAGTATTATTACGAATCATTTGAACGGGTATATAGACAAGTGTTGTTTTAGACTTTTTAAGGTAATTTTTTAATTTTTTTCTTTCATCCTATGAAAACCTTCTCCTGATAATAACAAACACTACAAAAAAAAGTGAAATCGGTCCAGCCGTACACGCGTGATGGCGTGACCCATGGAAATAGGGATTCATTTTTATATATATTATGTTTAGATAGATTATCATGTCATTGTTCCCTCCACTATTGTCGTTGTATCGTTGTATATTATGAAACTAGGTGTGTATTACAACACTGTACGTAACAGTTTAGTAATAGTCTTGTCAGTTATCTCCAATTTTCTAAAAGCTCTATGATGTTCCTATACATACTAACATTTCAGTAGATTACGCCTCACCGTAGACACCAGATACAAGCGTATGAGTATTATCGTCGCCTTTTGTCCCATCACGCAGCTCGCGTGCCCAAGGTTTATTTAGTTGCACAACGAACTGCCTCGCCGACGGGTGTTTTTAAAAATACCAATCGACAGAAACGAACTGCTGTTATTATATTTTATATTATACTTTTTGTGTTAAACACTTTTATAAAACGGGTGAGTCATTTAAAAAATTATACTGGGTGATTTGTGCAAGAAGCAAAATCAATTAGCTTTTAAATAAACTGAATGAAGCAATGAACATCAGCATCATGAAAATCATCTCAAAAAATTTGGAACAAATTTTAATATCATTTGTTTGTTACAATTAATCTTCCGTTTAGCATTCAGTGTAAAATAAAGTTTTTATTACGAAATAACAATGTTAAGAATATTTTTCATTTCACTAAAGTAAATTCACAACACTTACATCAATTTTATGGTTACATTTTCGAATTCAGGAAAATTAATCAGTATTAAAATGTACATTTATTTAGTGCAGCACAGCGGTCAAAGTTGTTATGCGATTATTTTATCTCGTTAAGATACATAAGTTACGAATATCATAATAATATAAAACTCAAAACAATAAAAAAAAATACACCAAGAACTTCCATTCCCAGTTAAGTATCAATTGAATATAGTAAGCTTTTTATGAAGCATAATGCAGGCAATACACTAACATGAATGAACTCCTATTAAATGAACTCTGCTTACCCTTCCGAGAGTTACCTGCCTAGGTATGGGAAAAGGTATTTGTACTACATACCTAGCTATAACTTTTGTAACGAATATTTAATAAATCATTTGTACTTAAATAAAAAAAAAAAACTAAAGCTTTAGAAGAATACGTTCCTTGTAAATAAAGTTAGTATATTTACTTGTATGTATGTAATAAAATTAATAATATATTTTTCTTATCTACGCAAAATCATGATAAAAATGGACTCATTTGTTTCTCACTGTTAACATCTACATCAAAATATTCACTCCGTATAAAAATCTAATATTAAAGTTTAAAATTCTAAAATTACGAACCGAGGCTGTATTTAAGTTGGTAAATCTTTGTTGCTAAAGTAAATCAGTAATAGAACTACATATTCATAAGCCGCTTGTATATTTGAGCCGTGATAGCTCAGTGTCTGGGCGCTCGCATCGATCGGCGCTCAATATCGAGTATAGCAAACTGAGTTCGATCCCCGATGCCGGCACCAATGACGTTTTTAACTTTAAGGGCTGACTTATCACGCTCACCGCGGTGAAGGAAAACATCGTGAGGAAACTTGCATATTTTCGAAATAATAACAAAAAAAATATTTTTCGAAGATATGTGAAGTCCGCCAATCCGCAGTAGGGCCGCGTGGTGGATTATGCCCTGATATCCTCTGTATAGAAGAGGTAGTTGCCCAGCAGTGGGACATGTATAGGCTGTTACTTGTATATTTGTTGGTTTTCCCAGGACACAGACAATTTTACGAATTTGTATTAGAAGAAAAAAACCTTTAAAAATTTGTTTTATTTTAAGTAAACAGTATAAAGGAATGGTGACCTAGTGATTAGGATGTTACCTAAAAGCCGAAAATTGTGAGCTTTCTTGCGGTCTGTCCAATTAAATCGTCTATATATTGGTAATTGCTTCTTCCAATGTCCTAATTTGCATACGCTGTATGGAAACTCAGTTGGGTTCACAAATTCAAAGAGAGATAGACTTACAATTAAGCAGCGAATATTATACATAGCTAGGCCAATTGCTAAAAAAGTTTTATTTATATATGTAATGAGTTTATTTTTACGTTACAGAGCTTCTAAAATGCATCATATTATATGCCTGAGTTTTACGTTCATGGCTCTAATACAACAGGGCTGGGCTGAATTGGATATGCCACAACCAAGGTAATTTCATTTACATAAAGTTAAGTGATGCGAATTTAAACGAACAAAAACAAATAGGAAATAATATTTTTTTGTTTAAAATTAGTTTAGTTTTATATAATGCCTCGTGTTCTTTCCAGAAATTTTAACCTTAGTGAAGAAGAAACTAGGATGGTCACCGGCCTTAACAACTTCGGGTTGAAATTGTTAAAGAACATGATGAAAAAATATCCAAATCAGAACATTGTTATTTCTCCAGCGAGTATATCATGTAAGTATAAAAATATTTCGGAAATATAAATTCAAAGTCATTAAAAGGATTGTTTTAATTTTAAGCTTTTTAAAGTACCCATGATTGTTTTAATTTTAAGCTTTTTGCACATTCACTTCCGCGGTAATAATTGGTAGGGTATCGATGAATGAAACATAACTCGCCTGATAACGGTATAATTATGTACAATATTGAATAGGTCTGCTGGCAATGACTCTCCTGGGTAGCGTGGGGAGGTCGTATGACGAACTCGCCGAGGCGCTCGGATTTTCCGAAGGTGAGTGGAACAAAGACTTGTCGCGGAATCGTCGCAGCTTTCTGATTCGTTTTCCTTGTGAAAACTAAAAACTAGGAGCGCAGTTAAATAGTAAATTCACTTTTCCACCTTAACATTTTAAATATAGTTCAAAGATGAAATCTCGATATTTTGCGCGGTGAGGATGTCGACCGCTTAGCTTAGTGGTTAGATAGTCTGGACGTGTAATGGAAGGTTCAGGTTTTGAATCCTGGCATAGGCGACAAATTTTGCGGCAGTTTTATCTGCATAATTTTTTAAATTTCATTTTAAGTGCAGCTAGCACGAAAAATAAAAACAACTAAAATCAGCAATCCAGTTATATAGTATAGTATAAATAAGCAGTCTATTTCAAATATCTTTTTCTTAACACTCACACCACATTTTTTTATTTTTTATTCCCAACAGATGTTGGGACGACGTGCTTAGGGGCAACAAACGGTGCCATATTTAATTTTAATCATTACATTTCTAACGTCCTAACGTTGTATTCCGTAGACATCTTGTTGAACCGCAAAAACCACGAGATGTTCGGTAGGCTGTTGTCGGGCGTGAACGCGAACGACTCTTGGAGCAGGACGATGTTCGCCGACGGCGTGTTCGTGGACGAACGGTCGCAGCTGCGGCACGCGTATCGATCTTACTTGCAACGCGTGTACAACGGCGCAGTCGTGAACGTCGACTTCGCGGACGCTGTCAAGGTCAAACAGATTATCAATGAGTTAGTACAGCCCATCAGAATTTTTCAATTTCTTTTTTCTTCTCCACCCATAAACCGGCCAGCGACACCTCGCGTAAGTAGTGATGTGTGTGTCTTGGTAATCTTGCCTTGAAGATACATACTCGGACGGAAATTTTTGCGCTGTCGTATTATATACTAGCGACCCGCACCGGCTTCGCACGGGTGCAATGTATTATACATATAAAACTTTCTCTTGAATCAATCTATCTAGTAAAAAAAACCGCATCAAGAGCATCAAGTTACCTCACTCATCAGACGAAACGCAGAAGTATACCTAACACTTCCACTTCACGCCGGTCTTCTGTGAGGTCGTACTTCCCCGGACGGACTGTCCATTCGTGCAACAGTGAACTGTAGGACCTGTCTGAGCCTTACATACCGTTTAATATAAAAAAAAGGATTACGTTAATTTGCCTTGTGAAGCGATATAAATTACAACGGAAATATTAAAATTTAATCTCAGTCGCGATTTCTGCTATCCTTGGCTCAATTTAATATCGTATAAAACATATCGAAACAGAATGCAAATTAAAAATTTGCCAATACCGCCTTTTTATGAATGTATGTGGTATCCTTTCTTTTTTGGGGCATACGTTTGCTCCGGTAGTCATACAACAATGTAGTAGTTAATAATGTAATTAAGGTCGTTCATACACTGTTCAGCTTGATATTATTCGTTCAGCAAGGAAAAAAATATTGGATGTTTTATGCTAAGACCGTATTTAGTAGGATTTTAGCTTATGAAATTTTGAAAAAAGTGTCGAATTTCTAGTATTACCTTAACTATTTTAGTCAAGAAATGTTTCATGAGAGTTTGTAACTAAATATTTTCCTTTAATAAGCATGACATTAAGTCTAATATTATATTCTTTAGTTTCCAACAATGACACAATGACACGATGTATGTAATAAAAGTTCATCACTTATCAAATGGCCGTGTAGAACCCACACGGGTACTCAATCAGCACAACACGATAAGCCATTGTGTTCTATGTTCCAAATTTCAAACCTTGATAGTTTTTAAATTTCACATGATAAAAATCGTTTTGTTAAGCTATGCCACGAATAAAAATTATTATAATATCAACGCCCAATTTCGTGTAGCCGAAATCTATGTATGTACATTATTACCATAATTATTGTACAACTTGTAGAACTTTACGACGAAAGATTGAATTTCTATGTTTTAATATTTTTATACACAGTAAACATTTGAAAATACCTGCTAAGAAAACATATGTGGATGATATAGTATGTACGATATGGTTATATGTTAAGTGTATGTATACATATATTTATGTATGTATTTATTACCTTTTGTAACAAAGTAGGTATGTAGGTATTTATCTTATAAAATTGGCATTCCACCCCCTTATATTTTGTCCATTCAAAAGGTACCTGGAAGAATTTACTCTATGTAATAAGGTAGCCCATTGTACAACACATATTGAATTGCTATTTCTCTATTATTACACATACATAAATATGAACAATATCGTGTGAGCCTTAGCCACAACCGCAAAGAGACTTGCTTTATGTGTCCGCTAGCCTTTAACAATATAATGTTTTTTTTTTAGATGGGTCAACCAGAAGACTGAGGGGAGAATAGATGAATTTCTGAAAGAAACTTTGCCATCGAATACCAAAACAGTATTATTAAGTGCATTATACTTCAGCGGGCAATGGGAAAAACCCTTTTTACCTGAACATACAAGACAGTAAGTTTATTTTTATAAGAAAAATATAAATTGGCAAATGAAATGAAAATTGGATTTCTCTGAACACTCAATAACCTTTCAGGATGCGATTTTCGCGTGGTGAAAATAATGTCATCGCCGATCTCATGTTGAATTTAGGACAGTTCCATTATTTACTTTCGGCGAAAAATGGTAAGTATGTTTTAATTTAATACATAAATTAAAAACTTTTTAATTTATTATCTGGAATCACATAATTTTACTTTTTTTTACTCATAAACGTACTGGTGCTGACTTCAATCCGATGATAAGTTATTCAACAATTCACTCTTGCCTTGACAACGCATTGTCTCAGATGGAGAAATTGACGCTGATAGTGACATTCTTTTGCTGCATGTAGGTATTATGCACGGAGGAATGATGAATGGATGGATTTGTTTTGAACGCGGGTAATGTTATTAACAAAAGAATAATTGTTGAGCAATAGATGCTCAACAATTCGTCCGACGATCTGAGGGAAAGGGAGGAGCTTAATTACGTAACACACCGAAATTTAACCTATATTATACACAAACGATGACGGCATAAAACCTAATACAACTAAAACACTTTAACGTTTAATAACTAAATGCGAATAGATCTTTATATTCCCTATCTCAAACTGAAAGATCAGCATTTTAAAAGATCGTATATTTTACAGGCTTCCACATGATAGCATTCCCATATAACGACAGCGCTACTACTATGTATGCGATAAAACCACGGTTACCGGAAGCGTTAAGCCTGTCAGAACTAATGGAGCATCTGGATTACGCCAAAATAGACGGCTTCATCGACCAAATGACGCGACAGGACGTCGTTGTCAGATTTCCAAAGATGGAATTAAACAGCGACAACAATTTAGAAACACATCTGAAGGAGCTTGGAGTTACATCGATTTTCAACCCGACCGAGGCAAACTTCGCCCTAATGTTGGACACAAACACGATAACAAACAAGACGGAGGACGATTTGATCAAAAGGATCAACGATGGGGATGTGGAGGAAAGAAGTCCGAAAAGCATTGTCAACAGCCTGATAAACCCGGGCGTGTATGTAGACACAGTAATGCACGAAGTAAAAATAAAAATTGACGGTGAGTATTGTCATAATATGAAAAGTTCTTTCGAGACAGTAAGCAACGCACAAATTATGACACCAATAGTGCTACTTGTGGCGTTCGAGGGAAAAGGAGGTTGGCTTTTTTCAGGCATTGTCCTATACAGTTTTTAAGAATGAAAGCCACATTATCTATTGGATAAAAAAATTCTGCGGCGTGAATATTACTTTTTGAATGGTAGATTTTTTTTGTTATAAGTAAACCTACTCTTAGCAATTTTATGTGGCATTAACGGAAACTTTGCATTAATATTTCGCAGTAGAATTAAGGCCCATTTACACGATGCAATTTTCTTGTACATACAAGAGCAATAATTGAATGCAATAAATTGCGCGCAATAATTTGTTAGACCATTTGTTGTTTAGACCATGCAACTCATTTATTGCTTCAATTTAATTGTATACAACAGGCAAGAAACTTGCACCGTGTAAATGGGTCTTTAGTTTAACAATTCTTCACTGAGTGTTCAATTTATAATAAATTTCTTTTTAATCAATATTTATAATATTAAAAATTAGTAAGGCTAGAGAATTTCTGATTTAAATACTATTGACACATAATAATTAGCTACATAAAAGAGATATGCTTACATAATTATTTGTGGACGTATTTTATTATATTATTTCCGATTCATTATAATACATTACACTTAGCCACATCGAGGCATTTAACATTGAATTTTATTGATCTTGTTGACAATAACCTACGTGCGTGTAATATAAAAGACGACTTTGCAATGGATATATATTCATAAGTATGATAAGCTTTAAAGATGATCCTATCTTGTTATATTCTTCATACCTTGGAGGAAATATTGTGAATTTAAAAATTTTATAGGGTGGGGTCACCATAACCAATTTGCAAATAATTTTTCACATATTTTTTCACCCTTTTATCGGTTAGAAAAAAATCAAATGATACGATTCCTGTTCATAATAAATAAAGTAATGGAATCCAGTAACGCTTCTTTCTTTTTTTATGTATGAAGGTGGCAAGCGAGCCGGTTGTTAACTGATGTGATAACCGCCACATTTGCAATACTTGTACGTTTACAGATGCGTGTTTACCTTTAAATAAAGTGTGCTCCGGCTGCCTCGATCACCAGACGAAACGCAGAAGTTTAACACTCTTCCACTTTACACCGGTCTTCTGTGAGTTAGGTACCGGGGTTGATCTGCCCATTCGTGCCACATGGAAGACAACAGTTTTCACTGTTGCCCTACCACAGTAAGACTATGAGAACTTTCGTGACTGCCATCTATTCTTCATTGTCAATCACTTTATCCACTTTAATATTTGTTATTAATATCGATAATGACATAGCAAGAAACCCGTTTTCCACTTGCGTCTATTATCGTCTGAATCCTAGAACACGTGAAGTATCCAAGCTATATCTGTACCTCAGAGGTAAACAGCATTATGTGACAAAACACAAATTTTACAGGAGAGGAAACAATTCTTGAACGCACTACGGTATGGATTGAAATGTCATATACGATTGGATATCTTACTATTAGGGCGCCATAGGATTTAATGCTTTATACTATCATGTAGAATTTGTTCTAGCGATTTCATTGGTTTATTACAGAGTATGGGACCGAGGCAGTGGCAGCCACTAGCAGCATATTGGCGAGGTCGTCAGAACAGTTCTACGCAGACTCACCCTTCTTCATATTCATCAGAAATGAAAAGACCAAACTCATCACATTCAGTGCGGTTATATTTGATCCAACCGTTTGAGTCTAGATTTTAACCCTTTATTTATTTGTACAAAATGAAGATTTTTACAGAAGATATGAGTGAAGCTTCAAGAAATATAGTGATATAAACAATTGCGACTAAATAAAAAGCGGCATATGCTGGAAGGATAAAATTTGAAAGTTTATGTCAAAGATATTAATAATTGCTCTTGGAGATTCTGAGTATGATTTTTTTTTGTTTTTTTTTTTCACTCACAGTTTTTTGCATACGAGCATAAACCTACTGCATGGTTCACAACATAATTAGTACTTACTAGCGACCCGCCCCGGCTTCGCACGGGTAGAAACCTCTAAAATTATCAGTGTTTCACTGCTATATTATGCATGAGTTATACATACAAACCGTCCTCTTGATCACTCTATCTATTAAAGAAAACCGCATCAACTGACAAGAAGACTTTGTTTTATACTATGTTACTTATGCACCATGTAGACAATCTGTCGACATAATCTTTATTAATAAAAAATTGCTTATGTACATTTGTGTCCAAAAAAACTCTATAACTAGCAAATGGATAGACTTAATATTTGTTCACAATATAGCTATTAAACAGGATTATTAATATTGTGCTTTTATATAGCTACTTTTTAATCTAAAGCTCCAAAGCAAAATTCCTGTTCTATTTATTTCAAATATTTTTATTGTACTGTCATAAATATACAACTGTCCTACTGTTACTTTACTGTATAGGATACAAAAAATATACACACATCAATGTACATATAAATACATTTCCTATTAATGGTTGATATAAAAGATTAATATTTAAATTTAATAAAATCCCATGGCATGTGTGACTGATCAAACAATTTTCAGTTACACCATCAATCAGTCACACATTAAAAGCCATGCATATAATATGTAGACTAGGTATGCATAGAAGTTATAGTTCTTTAGCGGAACAAAAGAAAAATAATTTATAAAATGTATCCTTTGTGAACATACTCTTTGTTTGTGAAAAGGTCTGAGAAAGGAGATGGAATTAATGTAATGTTTGTGAAAAGGACTAAGAAAGAATATGGAATTAATCTAATTTTCATTAATAAGTTGTTTTGGTTGCCATCCAGTATACAGCGTGTCGTTACAACCGCGACAATAAATGAACACACATATAGAGGATAACTTTTTAAAATTGTAATAAACATTTGCATTCTTTAAACATCAATTTATAATTTTCAAAAACAATTTACAACACCCGTACGTATAAAACTGCAACGTAAAGTTCAAAAAGCATATGAGTGGGTTGAATGAATTTAAAAGAGACAAAACATACTGTTGGAAGGAGAGGCTTGTAATGCGACGCTGTGGCAACGACTGAAAAAGTCTGAATGTACGAATCAGTCAGATGTTATAAATTTTAATTCTTTATTACTTAATTAGTTTGTTTGGAAAATATCTTTTTCTAATTGTGGATTTTTTTAACGTTTCTATTTTTTATTATTATTGGCAAGTACCGTTAGACGTGTATTCATTTATTGTCGCGGTTGTAACGACACGCTGTTTATGTATGTATCATCTATGGCTACCATGGTAATACCATGAAGTTGGTCACTTTACAACCCACTTTATCATGGCATTGTGCCTGATAGTGTGTACAAGCTTGGCAAAAAGTTTACTCTCACAATCAATTCCAAACACGCCAAAAGAAGTATAACTTCAAAAATTAACATTATATATTAATAACAAGAAGGAGCCACTTCAGTCTCGTCAGTTTTAAAACTAAGATTTTTATCCAAAATTTTGAGCCAGACATGTCACATTAAATAAGCAAATAGAAAAATTATTAATTGATGCAAGCCACAATTTAAACACGAAGTCACCAATGCTTTATTTATTTATAAAAGAAAAAGAAGATTTACTACAAGCACTTAAAATTATTTACACCTTTATATTAATAATTACTAAATACATTCGTCCCTTATCTATTACTTCTTAATCTCTCTAATCTGTCATTTAGAGTTTGTTTCCATTGATCCTCTGATATACTTTGTGCCCATTCCGGGATTGACGCTTCTGGTAAAGCAAAATTAGCCATTGCCAACATCACCTGCAAAGCATTTATTGTTTTTATTTATAAGTTAGTTATAAATGTCAACAATATTATGTTATCAATAACACTCAATTTATATAATCTTAAGCAAACATGAGAATTTTAGATTGCAATTTAAATTAAATTTCTCAGCCCTGGAGAATTTGAGTTTAAATTGAGATGCAAGGCCAACATTGAGTAATGAATTAATTATGCTGTTAATATCATTGTAACTAGAGATTTTCACTCCTTCAAGAGTGAAAGTTAGATTGTCATCCCAAAATTGTTATTTATGTCATGTCAATGTCGCACTTCACTGAAGTAATTTTGCAACTTCAATCTGAAGAATAAGCAAACTATATGCAGTAGTTTGCTTCAATATAACACTTGACACTAAAAGTTGTGCTGTGATGGTGTCCAGTGGTATGTATACTGTGTTTGTTGTCAAAATTAAAAATTTATTTGAAATATCCATTTGTCTTACTATATACTTTATTGAATACAAATTTTATCAATATCAGTAAAAGAATAAAAGATTTCATTTAAATACATATGAAATAGATTATTGATTATATTTTGAAAATAATTGATGATCTTTAAATAAATATCAGAAAGCATTTTCATTTTTTACACAAAATTTTATTCACTTAAAAATATTTATAATTAACTAGCGACCCGCCCCGGCGTCCCAAGGGTGCAATGTATTATACATATAAACCCTCCTCTTGAATCACTCTATTTAGTAAAATCACTGCATCTAGTAAAAAAAAAAGGCATAAAGATCAGTTGCGTACTTTTAAAGATCTAAGCATACATAAGGACAGAGAGACAGCGGGACAACTTTGTTTTATACTATGTAGTGATAGCAATTGCTATCACTATTGAAATAATAAAGGCTGCACTTAATAAACAAATGTATTTAATGTGTTAATAATCTTTTCTATACTTAAAATGTAGTATTAGAGAATGGGCGAGTCCATCCTGGTTAGTACCACAACTTCACAGAAGACCAGCGTGAAGTAGAAGTGTTACACCTCTGTGTTTCGTCTGGTGAGTGAGGTAGCCGGTGCCCACTTTATTAAAAGATGGCAACACATCTACAACCCTACAGTTAGTGCAAATGTCCATGGGCTCCACTTTTCACATAAGATCAGGTGAATCGCCAGCTTGTTTGCCACATTCCAACATAAAAAAAAACACCACATATATTCTAATAGTAAAAGTAAAGTAAAGTTACAATCTATACATGTCCCACTGCTGGCCTCCAATATACAGAGGGTATCAGGGCATTGTCCACCACACGGCTCCACTGCGGACTTCACATATCTTAGAAATATTTTTTTTGTTATTATTTCAAAAATATGCAGGTTTCCTCACGATGTTTTCCTTCACCGTGTTTTTCTTCCGATAAGTCAGCACTTGAAGTTAAAAACTTCATTGGTGCTGGCACCGAGGATCGAACTCGGGTTGCTTGAGTATATTGAATTAAAGGCGAGTACCCGGACAACGAGCTATCACGGCTCATTCTAATAGTACTACATTATATTTTTGTAAATAAATTTTACCTGTTGGACCCTTTCATTATCCATTTGTATTGGATCTGCAGCTCTTGGAGTACTCCATACTTCCCTAACCAGTGTATTTTCTACTGGTTCTATATTGGGCACATTTTGTATAGGTACCTGTTGCTCTTCTGTATTCTGTTTATAATTTTTAAAAAAAATTACTTACAAAAGAATTTTTAAAATATTTTATGGAATGTTTCTGGATCTTTGTACTAAAATAGCATAAATAAAATCAAAAATAACAGTGAAAAAGTGTTCAGAACTTTTTTTCATAGTAATAAATTCTTCTACATCTGCTTACATATACCCATATATGGTACGAAAATTTAATTTTAATATAAGGAACAATAATATTTTCAACATGATATGTTAAAAGTTCTTAGTGGTTAAATTAGTACAGATTTCACTCTAAATTTTACATGCCTCAATTTCATCTTCACTATCGTTAAAATCCATTATAGCTCCATCTGGTCCTTGGGGAAGTGGTTCGTAACCAAAATATTCAGTTTGTTCGTCGTCACTTTCATCGTGGTTATTACCATTAACTAGATCGTGCCTAAGAGGCGGAGTCATGTCATTCGGAGCATTTTCTGGAGGATCTGGACCATCGCACACCATATTGTATTTTACTTATTTTTCAAAAAACTTGTAAAGTTTTGTATATGGAGTGGTAGACTGTAGAATTGTAGATACATGGAGGCACTTGGAAAGCTATCGATACTATCGATCGGTAGTATCGACAGTCGACTCGACTTGACAGTATTGATCTAGACGATATTATCGATAGTACAATCGAATCAATATTCTGAGTAGTTTTCGAGGTCAAATAATCGTTATTCAAAATAAAATCAATGGTTGTGCAACGCTATTAGGGATGTAAAAAAGATTTCGATATATTTAATCAAAAATATATCCATATTTTTGTAACCCATATGTTTTGATTCGATATATCGCTATAAAATATTCAATATCGAAATCGTATCAAAAACTATATTTTAATCCAAATTTAATTCACCTGACTATGACCGGAATTGAAAATAAGATAGGAACGAAATAAAAAAAACTATTGTCTACGACTAGTATTGTCACCGATGCTGGGTTGGATTTTCTACTATAACTAGTGTATTTATACTATAATTTCATGCTTCGAACTTTAATCTATCCATATCTAAGGTACAACATGGTATAGAGGTATCACAAATCGTTAATATTGAACTACATGTTAAGCTAATTATGAGGTACTTTAATATTTACAAAGTTAACAAAAATTAATTACAATGAAATTCTCAATTAAATGTCACATTTATAATATAATAACATGACTTCATATTAAAAAATTCATTGATGTCTTATAAATTATTATCATTTAACCTCATTAGCAACTTTTTTGTAAATTTTATGTCAATGAAATAACTACATAATTATTACTAAATTTTACTGATCTAGGCCTATCTTTTAGCACAAGTCTATGTTAACCTTATATTATAATAATTAATACGAGGTAGATATTATGACACTAGTGCACCGAACACTAAAAATTACGGCAATTGGTGTTATAAGATTGCTTTTTTACTGCTATCTTTATCCGTATCATACGCAAAGACCTTACACTTACTAACTTCGTACGTTCTATTTCATCTGTCACATTCTCATAAATATGGAACAATTTCTAAATGCCGCGCGTCGCGCAATATAGACATGCGTCTTCGACTTGTCAATGTAACAAAATTCCATAAACATCTTCTATATATATAAAAATGAATCCCTATTTTCCTTGGTCACGCGTAAACGGCTGGACCGATTTCACTTTTTTTTGTTGTGTTTGTTATTTATTATCAGGAAGTTCTTATGAGAGAAAAAAAGCCGTCGGCGAGGCAGTTCGTTGTGCAACTAAATAAACCTTGGGCACGCGAGGTGCGTGATGGGACAAAAGGCGACGATAATAGTCATACGATTGTATCTGGTGTCTACATGTAAATGTAAGTATGTATAGGTACATACTAGAGCTTTTAGAAAATTGGAGATAACTGACAAGACTATTACTAAACTGTTACGTACAGTGTTGTAATTCATACTTAGTTTCATAACATACAACGATACAACGACAATAGTGGAGGGAACAATGACATGATAATCTATGTAAATATTATATATATATATATATGTTGTGTTTGTTATTATCAGGAGAAGGTTCCTATGAAAAAATTAAAAAATTGCCTGAAAAAGGCTAAAAACAACACTTTTTTAGATTCCCGTACAAAAGATTCGTAATAATACTTAAAAGTCCATCTGAACTTTGATAGTATAGTTATAATATATATCATAAAGTTTAAGTGTTAGTGGAGGGGTTCCGGGAAGGCAAAACAAGTGAGTGACTGTGACTGTGGTAAAATGTCACTTGAAATGTAAACGTCTCTTCGCTGTGCATCACTGCATAGTATTAAACAAACTCGTCCCGCTGTCTGTCTGTCCCTATGTGTGCTTAGATCTTTAAAACTACACAACGTATCTTAATGCGGTTTTTTTTACTAGATAGAGTGATTCAAGAAGTTCATATGTATAATACATTGCATCCGTGCGAAGCCGGGGAGGATCGCTAGTTTATTTATAAAAGTCTTTTTCTACATAATTTCCTAAATTTTTGGCTTTTTATTAAGTTATGGTACAGTAACATCTTCTTAGTATTTTCTATTTCATGGACTTCAAATTATCTCACTTCATATATTATAGTTTTGTATATTTGATTAGGTATACACGGTACTTGCATATAACCGAAGTGTTCTAGGTAAATATTTAAAGTCAGAAACATTCAAAATTTAAGAACGAGGACGTGAAAGAGTGTGAAAGAAAAAGTATGGTTCAAAAGCTGCTAACTTTAGTTATTATATTTAGTGATATTTGTATATGTATATCATGGACTTGTAAAACAACTCCTAATTATTCATTTTCTCTCTAAATTTAGACGCATATTTTTACTTCGTAATTATTGTTTCGGATATGTATCTCCATCACTCAAAATATTTGTATATAAAAAACACGCAAGTCCGTATTCAATCGAAATTTCGACAGAGGTACTTCCTCTGGATTGGTATCACTTGCTGTCCATCCAAGCCGAAGTTCGAATCCTCCATCTAGGGAAGGACATTATGATTGAATGAATGAAATACGCTTTATTGTTGATGTAAACTTCTTACTTGAAACTAGCAGCCATAAGCTTATGTCATTGTCAATCTGTTTTGTTAGTGTCTTTGTCAATGTATCTAATGTAACCAAACTAATTTTACTGTTAATTTTAGCTTATTAAAACCTTATATTCATTAAAGGTTTTCTCTTATTTCAATTGTACACCAGACAAAATTACAAAAGTAACAAACAATTACATAAAGGTACAATTGGCGGCCTTATCGCTTAGGAGCGATTTCTTCCAGGCAACCATGTTACAGAGAATACAATGATCAGTGAGAAAGGTTTGAGGATACGCTATTGTAAATATGGGTATTATAGACACATGTACAGTACACAACACGGTAAATGTAAATAACTTTAACTCCGGCGTAATTCGATTAAAATATATATATTTTAAGCGATAGAGAAAAATCACTAATGAATTTTTCAACAAGCAGAATTCGGCGGTCGCTTATAGTTTTCGAAAAAATAAATAATGAAATAGTATGATTTTTACTATAGAAATCCGCTATTATTTTGTTGTCAATATGTCAATTCTGCTCGTATTTCTTGGTGGTCATAAAATCTATCTAACCTAATCTATCCGAGTCGAATTCGCTCTGTGTCGGTTCTGTGACGCATTAAATTATAAAAAAATCGGACTATCGATACGAGTATGATGTCGCCCGCTTCCTATATTTATCATGTTGGCAGAACTGTGTATTGAGTTTTTGAAGTGAAATAAATAAATTTAACAGTCAAAAACTTAAGTTAAACGGTTTTATTTTATGTGCACTGAAAACTACAATATTGTATTGTCATCTAAATTAAATGTGTGTACCAAATTTCAGATCAATCTGACAACGGGAAGGTGCTTAAATTTCAATTTCTAATTTTGACCCAAGTAAATAAACAAATTCCGTACGGGTCGAGCTAAATAAAACCGTTTAATAAAATGGTGGATTTCTTAGTAAAAATAACAAGTATTAAATATTTTTTTTCTCGAAAACTATAAGCGACCGCCGAATTCTGCTTGTTGATTAATTCATTAGAGAATTTTCTCTATTGTTTAAAATTTATTTTAATTGAATTACGGAAGAGTTAAATTTATTTACATTTTCCCACAATAGTACACAAATAAATGAATAAAATAAATAAATATATATATGAATAAATACATAAATATTTATATATAAACAGAAGGGTACGGTAAAGCACGCAAGCCCCATCAATTAGGATGTTAGATAAAGTCGACAAGTCAATAAGAGTAACCAATTTTAGACTGCCTATTATTATTCCCTTCAATTTTGATGGATTCAATTTCAGACCATACGACTTACTCCATTCAGCTCGATCAGCAGATCATCAGCATACAGGTGGTAGCGAGAAGATAATAGGAGCGTCATAGAACAAATGAAAATTGAAAAAAGAAAAGGAGACAACACGCCACCTTGTGGTTACCGGTATTGATCGTTCGTCAGTTAGAGAAAAAATCATCAATGCGCGTCCGTTGCCGGCGACCAAACAAGTAATAGTGAAACCAGTCCATCACTTCAGGATATATGTTAAGAGACTGTAAAATTGTTAATAAGATGTCAAAATCGACATTGTTGAATGCATTGCTGAAGTCAAGTAAGGTCAACACTGTAACACATTGGTTATCCATCCCGAGACTAATGTCCTCGGTAATCTTGACTAAAGCAGTAGTCGTACTATGACCAGCGCGGAAACGGGATTGGAATAGATTAAAAAGATTTCGCTTAGATATAAAGAGGCTTAATTGATTGTGAATAACACGTTCAAAACTTTTGACAGAAATGGGAGTATGGAAATGGGGCGGTAGTCAGAAAAACGAAGGATTAGCTTTTTTAGCTATGGGAATTATTTGAGCTTCGTTCCAGGACGATGGGAAGGTTCCAGATGATATAGAGTCATTAAAGATGGATTTTATTACAGCGTTTAGGATGTCGATGATAGGGATGATCATTTTACGACTTATGCAGTCAGTACCTACGGCATCGGAATTGACCTCAACAATACTTTTCTTAACATTACTGTCAGTGATTTGACTAAAAATGTAAGCAGGATAATCAAGGTTGGGAGAAGCTAAAATTTTATTTTTTTTACGTAATTTTGTGGCAATATCAATGTCACAAGAAGAGAAGTGCTGATTAAGCTGGTTTACATCAATGTTAATGGAGCTATTATTCTGACGCGCTTTCTCAACTCCAAGAGATTTAAGGAATTTCCACACTCGACCTGAATCACCTTCGAGTATGGATTTATGAATATGGCGTCGTTTCATATCCCTACACAATCTGTTGCAGTGATTCCGAATATTTTTATATTTTTATCTATTAACATCAGAATCATCATGTCGAATTTGTATTTAGATTTAGCAACATTTTTCTTACGTAATATTTTGATCTCCTGAGTAAGCCAAGGAGCAGGCAGGTGTTTAAGTCGGACCGGTCGAATTGGAGCATGAAGGTCGTAAAGTTGTGTTACGAGAGAATTGAAACCTCCCACCCTATCATCAATATTAGTGTGAACATCATCCCAGTTGATCATTATGGTAACCTGGCTAGACATACGAAAATAATAAGATTGTATCATTATTTTCGTATGTCTAGCCATTTCATTATCCATTTCTTGTTTTATGGAGTACAATATAATATCTAAACATGAAATTCTATAAAACATATCGTTACTTACTTTACAATTGCGAAGTTGTAGTGTATTGAGTTGACATTGACATTAAAATTTTGGCATCTAATACTAGTGCAACTGCCAATAGTAGTTATTGCTAATGCCAAAGTTTAAGTCTTGAAGGAAGGGTAAATAAAAATCAGCAAAAATTGAGTCTATATGGCGTAAATTGTCTTTATTTTTATTCTCAACTATCATAGCAGTAATGGCGTGGAGAAGTCACGGCGTAAACAATGCAGATATGATTCGAAATCTACGGGGTAAATATTATATTGCATAAACAATCTTCGTATCTGTGCCTGTTCTTTGCTATTTTAATTTCATTGAACTAAATATTACCAACAAAATATTCTTATGATTAATATAAATGTTTGAAATGAATATACGCTTTAATTTATAGCAGTAGGTGGTATATTTAGAATATATAAATATATGTGTATATTATGTAAATATTTTCAGGTAACGGAATTATTAAATCCGTCGCTGTTGCTAATGCTATGACTGCTGTTGATCGAAAGAATTATTGCCCCCATGCTCCTTATCAAGATTCACCACAGTCAATAGGGTATTCTGCTACAATTAGTGCTCCACATATGGTACGAAATTGATGATTACTGTTTAATTATATAAAAAAATATATGCTATTGGCACTATATAGGTGGAATAAAGCTGTAATTTAACCTGATATTATACTTTTTTTACATTATTATTGATCTTAAACTTAGACATAGAATAAAAGATAAATGTTTTTATTTTGTCTGTGGACGCATAAAATATCCTTCCATTTAGCAATGGTCATTGTAAATATTGTGATGTTTTGCTCTATACGGTTTAATAAAATATTAAAAATATATGCAGCATGCCCATGCATTAGAAAGATTACAACCGCAGCTGATTCCTGGTGAAAAAGCTCTCGATGTTGGATCTGGGACTGGATATCTAACAGCATGCATGGCAATCATGCTTGGGGAATCAGGAAGAGTTGTTGGAATAGATCACATCCCAGAACTGGTGACCCTAGCAACAAAGAATATTCAAAATGACAATCCGGAACTTCTCACATCAGGAAGAATTAAGCTGATAGGTAATAATATATTTTTATCTGTAAAGTTCAAAGTTTTATTGAAAGTACCATTATTTTCATGTATTGATTGTACATAAACTATGGGGAAGTAAGGGTTATGGCATATAGGTATGCTAATTAAAATAAAATGTGTAAAAAAGTGAATGCAATGACTATTAATGTTGTATTTAATAACCCCTTAATAAAACTGCTTTAAAAAGCTTTACTGTGTATAGTTAATATAATATTTATAAAATAAATTCCTTTTTAATGAGCATTGTTTCCAAATTAATAAAGTATAAATTTATTTTAATGTGGTTTGCAGCTGGGGATGGTCGACTAGGATACCCAGATGAAGCACCTTACAATGCCATTCATGTTGGAGCTGCAGCTCCCACTTTACCTCAGGCAGTATGTTTCAAAAATGTTTTTATGAAGTAGTTGAGGACTCCGTGGTGCAGTTACCAAGGCATAGGGGGATGTGGGTTCGATTCCTACATGGGTCAACTATTTGTGTGACCCACAGACAATTGTTTCGCATATTGGTGTTTGTCGGTGCAAAATTTATGTTTGTAAAACATTCTCACAACACAAGATCATATATAAGATAAATAAAATTATAGTGTCTACTTGTAATATTAAAATAACCACTTTTTACTAAATACATGTATGTATGATAAATAAATACTAAATACTAAATTCATGGATGTATTCACAGTACATTTACCAAAAGAACATTTTTTAGAAATTTTCTCCATCTCTTGGTTCCGGCTAACGGCTCAACCTATTTTGATGGGACTTTCACTTGCAGATAGCTGATGTAATATGGAGTAATTTAGGCTACTTTTTTTTTAGAAATATATATAAGTATAATACAGTAATAGATGTTATTAATTACATAATATTTTATCCATTTTTTTAAGTATAATACAGTAATAGATGTTATTAATTACATAATATTTTATCCATTGTACTTTGTATTTGTATTTCAGTTAATAGATCAACTTAAACCTGGAGGTCGTCTTATTGTACCTGTTGGTCCAGAAGGTGGTGAACAACATCTTACTCAGGTGATGTACAAAAATTAAAAATAGTGCATTTTTTTATTTAAACATAAAAAAAAAGTTTGTGAACATATGTAAGCAGTAACTTTTTTACGCAACGTAAAAAGTTTTACTTCTTTGGCGTACCAAAAGAAAAATAAGGTGAATAATAATATCAAAACATTGTTTCAAAAACTAACCTTGGCAAAACAGTGAACTCGAGTTTAAAAATCAAAATCATTTATTCATCGACATAAGAAAAATACATTTCATTTATTGATAGACATGTTTTTTAATCTACCACCATTTTGTAATGAGGTTCCTCTAACGGAGAAGAAACAGGCGAAAGAAACTCCGTAGGTATCCTCTTTTTTTGTCAATTTTTTTTTCTCAACAAAATTAAAATATTTTACAACAAATTTGTTCTTTTAGAAATGGCTTGGGAGCGATCAACTCATTCCCATATACATATAGATATGATATACTTATGCATACAAATGTTCAAAAGTAGAGCAAACTTATGAAAAGCCATCTACATTCTTTAATGAGAACTGTAACGGGCGAATGTGATTGAGAAAATGCTGCTATCTATAAAAATTAGCGGGCAGCTTCAAAGGTGTGACTTTTATGTTACCTTATAATTTCACTTTCATCATTTTCTCATAACGTGCCTTAAGAAGTATAACTTGAAAAACTTCTGCACATGTCATGTAAAAAAACATATTATTCTCATTCTACAAATAAACATTCTAAATCTTCCTTTTTGTTGGCAAATAAGGGAAAATTCATCTCAAAAAAATAAAAATCAAACTCGTAGATTTCCCACTGGTTTTTTATTTATGTATGAATATTTAGTTACATGCATATTTGAGGATTACATATTTTCCAAGTACACACAAATTTTTAAATTTATTTCCCAACAATTTGAACCATTTTAATTTAATAAATATTAATTAATTAAATAAGAAATTAAAAAATTCAAAAGTGGAATAAAAAAATTATTCAATAAATTTAGCAATTTAATTAGCATTTTCTGTGTGACGGCACAAAAATTAATTATTTAAAAACTGGCGGTAGCTAGGACTAACAGTCACGCCCAATGTGTTCAATTCAAGGCCTCTGTCTTGTGACCGTGAACATTGAAAATGGATCGAAACATCGAACTTAAAATAAAGACAGTAAAAAAACTAAAAAAACTAAAACTAAAGACAGTAAACATAGTTTATTTTGGTAATGTGCAATCGCGTAATCACTAGAAACTAACATGGTATAAAATAAAAGTTGTTAGACTTGGCATTTGAGATAGCACGAGGGGTTTTAAGTATTACAAATTCATAGTGTCCGACCGAAACTGCTTTTTACGACCGAAACCGAAACCGAATTTCGGCAACAGTCTCAGTTTCGGCCGAAACCGAAACATCTATAAAAGGATCATGTTTTGAGGGAAAAATAAATATATTTCTTTTATATCATGTAGATAAAATCCGTTCATTCGTCCAAATTGACAGCATCACATTGACGAACATCAATCAAAGTTGAAAAAACCTTCAACTATGTATCGCTAGTCTTCGTCGCTTGTACGGAGGGTAGAATACTTCTACCCTCCATAGTCGCTTGCTTGCATGGATGTAATTTAACGCGCTGATCATAACCGATCATAGCGCGAGAACTCCCGAATGCAGTTTAACTAAACCGAAACTGGTTTTTTTGCCGAAACTCGACTGAAACCGAACATTCGTTCGGACACTACAAATCAGGGACTTAAAACGTTATGCATAACGAAATTTATAACGATATCATAACGTTATAATGGTATCGGTACCTCAGAAAAATTTCGTTTTCAATTTTTTTGTATAACGTTATACGAGTAACAGAACGAAATTATTACAGGAAATTAACGTTATTATAACGATAAATACGCAACGTTGCCAAACTTATTTATTTCTACAGCGCGCGTCTTATGAGCGGAGATCCAACTGTTAGCTCGGATGGGGGTTCCCCGCACAGCACGGCAACGTTTCAAAACAATGCCTAAACATTTGTAAACCCTTTACGCGACGAATTTTATTTAACAAGCTTTCATTTAGTTTCTCCTGTAGCGATGTTTGTCATCAATTCTTGCAAATTAAATTTGATCTACTTCCCGGTTAGGTACCGATTGAGCTGAAATTTTGCATACATGTGTAAATCGCGTGACAAAGCAATATTATGATGACATGGTACTGATCTGATGATGGAGCTGGAAGGTGGCCAGAGGAACTGCGCAATGACAGAACGACACAACCTCATCGAGTTTGGGCTCATTTGAATCTTCGTGAGGAGTAGTTTGTCTTTTAATGGTAACCAGGGTCTGATGAAGTAGCTGGAAGGTGGCCATCGGAACTCTGTAATGGAATGACGCAACCCCATCGAGTCTCAGCTCGTTGGCTTCGTCTCGACGAGTACTTTGGTACTTCATGGTAACCAGGGTTTGATGATGGAGCTGGAAGGTGGCCATAGGGACTCAACGACGCAACCCCATCGAGTCTCGGCTCGTTGGCTTCGTCTTGACGAGTGCTTTGGTACTTGATGGTAACCAGGGTTTGATGATGGAGCTGGAAGGTGCCCATAGGGACTCTGTAATGGAACGACGCAACCCCATCGAGTCTCGGCTCGTTGGCTTCGTCTTGACGAGTACTTTGGTACTTGATGGTAACCAGGGTTTGATGATCGAGCTGGAAGGTGCGCATAGAGACTCTGTAATGGAACGACGCAACCCCATCCAGTCACGGCTCGTTGGCTTCGTCTTGACGAGTGCTTTGGTACTTGATGGTAACCAGGGTTTGATGATGGAGCTGGAAGGTGCCCATAGGGACTGTAATGGAACGGCGCAACCCCATCGAGTCTCGGCTCGTTGGCTTCGTCTTGACGAGTACTTTGGTACTTGATGGTAACCAGGGTTTGATGATGGAGCTGGAAGGTGGCCATAGGGACTCTGTAATGGAACGACGCAACCCCATCTAGTCTCGGCTCGTTGGCTTCGTCTTGACGAGTACTTTGGTACTTGATGGTAACCAGGGTTTGATGATGGAGCTGGAAGGTGCCCATAGGGACTCTGTAATGGAACGACGCAACCCCATCCAGTCACGGCTCGTTGGCTTCGTCTTGACGAGTGCTTTGGTACTTGATGGTAACCAGGGTTTGATGATGGAGCTGGAAGGTGCCCATAGGGACTCTGTAATGGAACGACGCAACCCCATCGAGTCTCGGCTCGTTGGCTTCGTCTTGACGAGTACTTTGGTACTTGATGGTAACCAGGGTTTGATGATGGAGCTGGAAGGTGCCCATAGAGACTCTGTAATGGAACGACGCAACCCCATCCAGTCACGGCTCGTTGGCTTCGTCTTGACGAGTGCTTTGGTACTTGATGGTAACCAGGGTTTGATGATGGAGCTGGAAGGTGCCCATAGGGACTGTAATGGAACGACGCAACCCCATCGAGTCTCGGCTCGTTGGCTTCGTCTTGACGAGTACTTTGGTACTTGATGGTAACCAGGGTTTGATGATGGAGCTGGAAGGTGCCCATAGGGACTCAGTCATTAAGCGACACAACCACGTCGAGTTTGATTAGTTTTAATGGGTGGACCGTTTTTAATGGGTGGTTTGGTGGACGTGTAATGTAATATAATATTTACGCATTAAATGAAATGGATAGAATGTGAAATGTTACAAACAACTAACTAGTAATTCCATAACTAATTGATATGTAAAGTTATTAAAATATGAAATAATACTAAAAATTAAAATATGTAGAATAAGTGCGAAAAGATTGTCGCCGCTGTGGGAATCGAATCAAATGCTAAGAAAACAATGTAGAGGAATGCGTTAAGATTTTCGTCGGTGTGGTAATCAGCCGTTTAGCTCAGTGGCTAGAGCGTCAGGCCGCGAATGCCGAAGACGTGGGTTCGATTCCTACAGCGGCGACAATCTTTTCGCACTTTTTCTACATATTTTAATGTTCAATCTTAAGTGCAAAGATTAGCACTATAAACAATTTAAATTTCTAATACTAAAAAGTTAAAAATAATATTAAAAGAAAAACCAAAGAAACGAAAAAGAAAAATTAAAGAAGTTTTTATCGCATACTCAATTTTTATAAATAAAAGCTTTTTAAGATGTTTTTTTTTATAAAATTTTTTTATTTCAGTTTTTCGTTCTTTCCACGTATCGATTCATTGATTAGAAGTAAATTAGTATAAAATTCGGATTGGCGCGTGTTGCACTTAGTAGAACGCAAGTTAGTCGAAACTTTTTTCAGTATTAAAGAACTTTATATATAATATAATATAATATTAAAGATTTCATTTAGTATAAAAAGTCAATGATATTAATTGTACCTTGTATTGTATATTAAAAATGTGCTACAGGCGACTTTAAATGCAACAAAAAATCGAATCAGAATTATTAACTTTATAATGCATAAAATCATATTAAAAGAAAGCATTTAACATAACATAACATTTGAAAATTGCCAATTAACTACTTTGTATCTGCACACCATTTTATCATTAGCACTTAAATTATGTTTTTATGTACTATCTCAAAAAAGTCCCTAGATGTAAACGCTAAGTGAACGCGAGCGATGGTACTAAGTAGATAGCGAAGAAAGATGCCCGCAAAAGAAATAATACTACCTTTACCTCTCATATTCCTAGTAACTTTTTAAGCAAAATTTTCTGTCAGTTGAATTGCTGTACCGACGACCACAATATAAGCGCGACAGAACATAAGATAAAAGAGACAGAACATACGCAAAAAAGAGTAAACCGTTTTGAGTAAAAGAGATGGCATAGAACAATAAATAATAACGTTATTATTTTTATAACAATATTTTAGAAACGTTTAATTTACGAATGTAACGTAACGCAATTATAACGTTATGCGCCTGCAAAGCTTTCCACAATATCGTTTTTAATAACGTTTCTCTTATAAATAACGTTATCTCACAGTGGCCCAGATAACGTTACTGTATTTTACCGGTATTTTGATCCCGGCTACAAATTAATACTTGAATTTATAACAATATAGATATGAATAGCTATAACATTTAATTAGAATCGTGTGGTTTATTATTTAAAGGTGGACAAGGCAGCTGATGGCACAACAACAGTTAAGAAGCTCATGAGTGTCATATATGTACCACTGACTGATAAAGACCACCAATATCGTAAGTGACCGCCAGTACATATGGTGATATATGTCTCACTCATGTTTATTTTAGCTATTGTCCTTGTATATTGTCTTTTTAAAAAACTTCGACACTCGATCGATAATTAAAAAGAATTATGCTACATCACACATAATAAAGTTTTTTTTATTTTAATAAAACTGTCAGAGGAATTTCTAAGAATTTTTTAAAGGACTAAATGGCTTTTAATAGCGCTTTAAATCGACCATGATTGCCGCTGGAAAGCATTTCAACATTAGTTTGGAGAATGAAAAGATCCAGTTAGTAATAAATATTGACTCTTTTAATAATCTCATGAGTCAGAGCTAGCTGTGACATACTCAATAATAATGTTCATGTACTGTTATAATAAAAATTGCTTCCTATAAATATTTATACATAATTAAACTACACAAGCCATAGAATTGCGCTGTGTGCTTTGTAAGTCTACAATATACACCAGAAATATTTAATGTTTGTTTAATTAATAATAAATGTAAATTATTATGTATGTTGCTCTAATTGCACTACAATCGTACCTACTACCTTGTAGTAATTTTGTTTAAATATGGGACATTGTAAGGTAAATTTAAATGAATGTTCTCACAATCCATGTTTAATGCCCTATGTTGTTGCGTATAATTATGTATATCCTTTTATTTATTTAATTGTTTTAGGTGCTTGGCGCTAAATTAATTCTTGACTGATTAATTAATGTAACTTTTACACTACTACTTTATCAGATTCATTATTTGCGAAATAATAATAAAAATATCTGCAACACTGGTGTTTTTTTTAATTCATCTCTTTTTGGTTTTGAACAATTTCCCCGTAAATTTATTTTTGCCAAACGCCTTTTCCTCTTTGACCTCCGTTTTCGATTTAATGTGTAATATAGAGTGCAAAATTTGTGCTTCACCCTTGTTCTCCAGAATATCAGTTAACTGTTCCTGAAATAAAAATCAATTCATCAATCATAAAATTTTACCCTAATATAATTAAAGAAACATTTACAATGCCAATAAATAAACCAAATATTTATAATACTGGGGATTGAAATCATTTTAATACTAGATTGCAAGATTACTGACATCTATATTATATATTTCGGAGAATGAAGTAGATTTATTTCTTGTACTAATATCGTCGCTGTCGATTATGTCCTTATTCGGCGTATTTGAATCAGTGCGCACAACAAGTGGTTAAATCACTTATGTTGTGTCGGACCGAACTACTGACTCAGGGATATGATCGTACGCCATTCACATTCGCTCGTTCGCTCTTTCTTACAATATATAGTATACACGGCGTTAGTAGTCGAAGAGTACTAAGAGGCTACCATAGATGGAACCACTTGTATGAAATAACATTATTTCGGAACTTCTCACATATGTAAATTTTTTTTATTTACTAACTTATAATTACTTACATTTAAATATATCCATAATCATACCGATCATTGAGAAGATGATTCTGGTCAATTCAGAGAGTTTAACCATCGTTTTGGCAACTAAAATGAAATTTGAAAAGCGATTTGACAGCTGATTGGCTGACATCTACGAATGATCAGTGTTTCAGACACCGGGCGTAAGGCTATGTAAACAATCATCTGTAATATAACAAACCTTGTTGAGCGATATCAAATGGTCCAAAGATTGACCTCTGTTCATGATCCTCATTATGTTCTTCGAAGTGACCCCAGGCAGTTTTTGAACGAAGTCATGGACCAGCGTGTTGTACCTCTCATAACACATGTCGTCCGCAGAGTTTTCGCCGCTTAGAGCGACTGCTTCCTCCACGTTAGGATTCTTTCTGCCTTGCTGTTAATAATGTAGTAAAGTAAAGTAACAGACTATGAATGTCCCACCGCTGGGCAAAAGCCTCCTCTTTACAGAGGGTATTGTGGGACATAGTTCACCACGAGACCCCACTGCGGATTGGCGGACTTCAAATACCTTCGAAATATATTGTTTTGTTATTAGTATATATATAAAAATTACACACAAATAAAAAATTCAACTTCTAAAATTACAATAAAAATTTCATTGGTGCCAACACTGGGTACCGTACGCAGGTTTTTCGAGTATATTGAATTTAAAGCGAGAGCCTGACAAATGAGTTATCAACGCTCTCTTATATTGTAGAATGTTAAAGATTTGAATACCGTAAATTTATACATTTGAATAAGTTGAAGGAGTCTATGTCTGACCCACAGATAAATATTCCAGGTCTAGATGTTTGCTTCCTAGAAGAGTTGACGTCAGGTTGGTGGCCAGTCGTACAAAACTTACCATAGACTATAGTATATAAATAGTAGTAGTAGTAGTATGGACTTTTTTTATGTGAGAAAGTGGCAAACGAGCCGGTGGTTCAACTGATATTAAATGATAACCGCCGCCCATGGAAATTTGCAATACCAAATGCGTTGCCACCTTTAAATAAAGTGGACCCCGGCTACCTCACTCACCAGACGACACGCATAAGTGTGACACTTCTACTTTACGCCGGTCTTCTGTGAGGTCGTGGTACTTACCCGGACGGACCTGCCCATTCGTGCAACAGTGAATACAGTCACATGGTCCTGCCACTAGATGTAACTGATAATGAAAAAGTTAATTAGACAAACATTAACAGCCTATACATAAATGTACCACTGTTTGAGTAATGGCAAATTTTTTATAAAATTCATAGACCACATACAGGTTTAGGTTTTGTAATGACTTTCTTCACTGCGGAGCCACTATGGCTAGTGCTGGATTGGAAGCAAAACAAATTACAAACATTTGCTGGTCAGGCTTCCAGTGAAATGTAACGGATTCCACATTGATCATTTTCATAGCTCCACAACAAAATTCGATCTCTAGTAACCAAATCTATCGGTAGATATAATATTGAAACCGGCCGTTAGCGCATCATGTCGAATGATAGGATTTTTTAATGTTTATATTTTTTTATGAATATTGACAAGTAGCGTTAGAAGTGTGTTCATTTAAGGTCGCGGTTGTAACACGAGAAGAATCGTGCAGAAAGTACAAGAATATTCCGTGAGACTTCTGTGCGGTAGTAGTACTTCACAGAAATGATCAATTTGATATAATTTTCTAAATTTAATTTTCATGTCAGTCATGAAAGAAAAGCGTGAAAGCTTCGGATGGACTAATTTGACCTTAACGTGACTATTTTTGACCTTTGACTAACCTTCAGTTCATAGAACAACTCGGCTGTGGCGTAAGGGCTGGGTGACCACACCAGCTTCAGCCTTGGGAAGTGTATTGTAAGTAGCTGCAGCTTTTGCTGGATGTCGGCTCCGGACATATCGGACGACACCACAAAGTTGCCCTGGCCATAGATAATATTATTTATTTATTAAGAGTTACCAACTAAATACATACAAAACATTGACATACAAATTAGTTTAACTTAATCATAAAGATGTATCAATATATGTAGGTACATATTGAAATTACAGGTAAACACAACATCATAAAATTATCTTGATCAGACAATAGAACCTTACTTAACTAAAAAGTTGTCTTTTATAATCTGAGAAAAAATAACGAAATAAGAAAATTATAAATTAGAACTAAGATTTGAGGTGTGTACTTTGTATACAATTGCATAGGCACGTTGATGGGGTTCGAAGTTGCAACCATAATACCGATAGTTCGACGTATCAACCTCCAAGTCTATCTTCGAAATTATCCATACTATCTTACCTTTATTAAAATAAAATACCTCACTCATTGATCCCACTGATAAATATACGTATAATACTTGTTGGTCTGATAGTGCACTAGATAAGGGCATCGGCTTAGCGGACAGTGGGTTCGATTTCTAGTAGGTTTTTTAATGATCGACAAATAATTGTATTAGACCAGAGTATTTGTCATACTCCAGTATTTAAAATATAAATAAATATATCCAGTATAAAACGTCTCTTCTATATATGATTTATTGTTATATATAACAGTGGTGGATACGTTTAAATGAAACAAAAGTGTTTCTTATTTTTTTTTGCAGGCATATTAAAACCATATACCCTATGTCACACCAACAATAAGACGAATCTAATGACAACTATAATGTTAAAATACGTCACAAGTTTTAAGCTGTAGAGCGTGCCGATAAAATAGACAAATATATTAGCTGAAAAACACTAACCTCCTTCAGCATTAATTACGGTGGTAAGCATAATTTATGGCGGTAGGGCCACGCTGCAGCCTCGGCTGTTGCACGAATGGGCAGGCTCGTCCGGGTTAGTACCACGACCTCACAGAAGGCGTAAAGTGGAAGTACGACAAATACTTTCGCGTTTCGTCTGGTGAGTAAGGTAGCCGGAGCCCAATTTTCAAAAGTTTGTCAACGCCTCTGTAACCCTCGGGTGTGGCAGATGTCCATGGGCGGCGGTATTCACTTAACATCAGGTGAACCGTCTGCTCGTTTGACAACTTTTCACATAAAAAAAGCATTCGGGTACGGAATAAAACAAAAAAATATATATAATATTCATCGGCATCATAAATTCATAAAACAAAATAAATAAGTATTACTTAAACAAAACTTTTTACTTAATAATACCTGTAAATTAAACGGTTTATTTTGATCGAATTCGATGAGCAGTATCGGTCGACTGTAGTTCCGGCACATCTGAGTGCATTGTGTGTACAGGCGGCCGGAGTTTAGAGAGCCGATTAAATCTGATATAGATTTTCGCTCCACACATATGTCCGGAGTAAGAATGTAGTCACCAATCTAGAAGTGAATTGGATACAATACTGATTGTAGGTAAGTATGTAACTTGGAACAAAAATGGTGAGCATGAGTCAAGAAAATATATTGAAATTACTATTGTTTTCGATCAATCATCATTGATCAAACTTTAAATGATAAGATTTGCTTTTAAAACATTCATAAAAAGTATACATAAAATATGTGATGAATGCAAAAAGTTTGTCAACTTAAACGAGATTTTAGATTTGGTTTCGACATTCCTCGAGTTGTTTTTATTATTTATGAAAATCGTAATTATGAGTTCATTAAATCGTTGAAGGTTTATAGACACAAAAATCAATAAGACCTTATTCAACTTACAGTTATAGTGACGGGTTCAATATTTATTCCTTTCTTATGGAGTAGTGCTGGTAGATCTGAGCGGAATTCTCTCATGTCGACTATAACTAAAGGCTTTTCCTTATTGAGATTTTGCCCACCTACAAAAGTACGGAAAACCAACGCTACAATCCTCTCGACTTATGATTATTTTGCCTTTTCATAATAATTTATTACGCCGAATGATTTTCTTCGACTATTTCAACAATCATTGTCATAGTTTCAGACAATTTTCACAAAACCCTCAACCTAAAACTTTCTCATGACTCACTCAGTCTATTTGTGAAAACAGTCAACCGAGGCTGTGGGGATATTGTTTTTATAATATGTAGCGATATAGGAAGCATGTAATAGCAAGTTATTATGACTTTTAATGACTGTCAAAGAAATGGTCTTGAAGTTATTGTTTATTGCATTATCTCACTTCCTCAATATTTAAAGTGCCGTTATTGCCGTTTACGGGTCTCGAGAATGGTAGATAAAGCAATGAACTCAGACCTATAAAAAAGTACTTATTTATTAGTCTGAGGCGATGAAAGCCATTCAAAACTGTTGTGTCTTGAAGTTGCAGCCAATAAATACTTCATGACTCAGTGACTAAATTAGTCGCCTTTCAGTTCAAGAACCTGGTAGCGCTATCTAGGTCCGATTCTCTAGTTTGGGCTGTCTCGAATTTTGTATGATATGACTGTTTCTAGTAGGTCAAGCGTTGAGAAATCGCAAATCTTCGTGTGTGGACCTCAAGGATAATTTTCTAGTAAGAAATGTGCAAATGTGTCTTACATTATACAATAAAATGTGGTAGGTATTTATGGTAAATAATAAAACATTAAATTTATATATTTCTAGCCTTCTTAATATTTACTTGTGGTTTTATTTATTTATGTTTTATTCTGGAACAAGTTATGAAGTAACAACAATTTACACTTTTTTTTCTAAGTTTATACAATGGGAGGAATAATAACTGTTTACGTTAATGTGCGCGCGCGGGTGTGTGTGTGTGTGTGTGTGTGTGTGTGTGTGTGTGTGTGTGTGTGTGTGTGTGTGTGTGTGTGTGTGTGTGTGTGTGTGTGTGTGTGTGTGCGCGTGCGCGCGTGTGTGTGTGTGTGTGTGTGTGTGTGTGCGCGCGTGTGTGCGTGCGTGCGTGCGTGCGTGCGTGTGTGTGTGTGTGTGTGTGTGTGTGTGTGTGTGTGTGTGTGTGCGCGCGCGCGCGCGTGTGTGTGTGTGTGTGTGAGAGAGAGAGTTTTATCATATAAATAGGAATTATACCTGCTTTTCTAGTATCTCCAGTATTTTCCTCTTCTTCTACATTCAGGTTGAAATACTCATCCGTTTTCCCATCTTGATATGAAGGTACAACCATGACCTAAAAGTTAATTTATATTACATATAACTATAACAACTTTGTGCTATTATAATATACATAGATACATACATTTTATATATACTATATTTATACTATTATAGGATTTTTGCCATGCCTTTAGTGTTTAGATACTTGTATGGACCATCAATTATTTCATTATAGCAGTTAGAAAATAGGATTATAATAAAGTTAGGTAGTACTCATTAGGCAAATGATATTTTATCACATAATAACATCGATTACTTTTTCCGCTTTTTATTACGACTGTAACTACAATTAATGATATTAAGAATATAAACCTATTTTTGTTTTAATAAAATTCTAAAGAATAACATAGCTTTTTATAAGTTAAAAAAACATCAACAACGGTACATAACTTTTCAGGTATAGTAAATGACTCTTTTTAATAATTTCGAAGACAATAAAAATATATACATACACTTTTTGTTTCTATAAGTAACTCAAAAGCCAATTTCTCTCTCTTCAATGATGTAAGGTAGGCTTGTTCTTCAACTGTTTTATCATGGATGAGGAAGTACACCTTGCAAACGGGTTCTTCAGATTTCTTTCTACATTCAAAGAGTTCAATTTGTCTGATCGCTGACATATCACTCTGGTAAAGTATTATGTAATCAGGTTGTAAAGTCTGCAGTGTGAGCTCAAGTGAGAAATTATTTCCATTTTGTTTGAATGTTTGTATACAAATTATTGGTTTCTCTGTTTCAATTTGTGTCATATTAATATCATCTAGCTGAAATAAAAAACGTACAACATGTACCTAAAAGTATTTTTATGACCTGAAAATAATCATTTCAAATCTATTTTATGAATATAAATAAAATTATCAGCGCAGATAAAGAAGACAAAAAATTAATGATGCAAAAAGGGTTAAATAATTATTTGTTTGGTTTTGAATTCACCAACAAAAAAAATATAATCAACACAAATGCCTCTACAAGAATGTTTTATGTTAATATTTTAATTTACAAATTCTAAAATCACAAGCAATGATTTGTGACTAAATTCTTTTTGAAATATTTTACTTCTTAACTTGCAGAAAAACACCTTGTTAAAAGTGCAATATTTCAAACATTTCAAAAAGATATGTTATCAATACTAATTTACTTTCTGAAGTACATATTCTTGTTTATTGAATTTTGCTTAACATCATGTATCCCATGGACACAGACTATAATAGTCTGCTAATTGGTAAATTATATTTATATGGGAGGAAGAAAAAATTAAACATGCTCTCTATTGTATAATTTGGAAAGAACATCAAAAATTTTGGATATGGACATAATGACAAAATTTGTAAAGTAAAAACTAAAATCTAGCAGTGAAAATAAATAAAAATTATATCTAATTATATGTAAACATACAACACATCTGTCACCCAGAGAAGGAATTTCCTATTTAGACAGTCTATGTACACCGCTTTCACCCATTTCCCTTACATCTTTGTATACATGACTATCAACTATGGGTAGCTTTCCGCCAACTGTCAGCACATGAACTAATTCATAAAATGTTTTGGTCTGATCTGTGTGCTATTAACTTTTGTGAGAGCTAATTACCTGTGACAATGGTTCGAATAGATTCTCATCCTGGGATTTCTCTTGTTTAGAGGGCAACTGGCTCAATGTTAAAATGTAGTTTGATTTGTTTGACTCTTCTGCATTAAAATTATCATCTTCTAATAAATTTTCTACATTTTCCTCTAAAACATCTTGAGTAACATTTGATTTAAGAGTTTTATCTTTTTCAGTTTGTGGCATGGAATTTTTAAAAGATTTATATTTTGAGGAAAGAGCATTTATTGCGAGTTCATTTCTGAAAGCCGTGTAGAAAAGATATCTATGGGCTCCCATTACAAGATAGTTATTCAACTGCAAACATGTTTTGTTATCCTGACATAATATTAATACTTTAGTTTTATGTAATGCTCTTCCTTTTAGTTTAACATCTTCAGGTATCTCTTCCAAAAGAAGTTCACTGAGACACTTCCACTTAGGGCAAGGTTCAGGATCAAACTCTGAAAAAACGTTATATTGAAGCATATGGTATTCACTGTGGTAGGGCCACGCAGCAGCCTCGGGTGGTGCTCGTCCGGGTAGGTACCACGACCTCACAGAAGACCGGCGTGAAGTAGAAGTGTTATACTTCTGCGTTTGGACAAGTGAAAGTATAATGCTTTCGAGTTTCGTTTGGTAAGTGAGGTGGCCGGAGCCCAATTATCAAAAGGTTGTCAACGCATCTGCAACCCTCGGGTGTAGCAGATGTCCATGGGCGGCGGTATTCACTTAAAATCAGGTGAACCACCTGGTCACTTGGTAACTTGGTGGTATATGGTATATGATATATAGCATCATGGTGGACGATATTACCACTAAGCTTATGGAAACTGTCCATGATGTGGGTAATAAGTTTTATAAAACCCGCCGCAGGATTAGAACCCAAACACTCTATCACACTCACCCCATGCAAATAAGACGTGAGATCTGGCTGCAGTCATAAACTGACATGTGGCCAAATGCATGCGACGAGACTTACGCACCTTGAATACAGTTCGTATTGAGGGTGCTTAGCTAAATCTAGGCTCTAAAATATTCGGCCGATATCTTTTTATCGGAAAAAAAAACAATTGACTAGGTTAAAGACTAACACTGGGGATATAATCCTACTGGAGGCCAGAGATTTTAAGTGAGATTGAGAAGTTCTATGGACAGCTGTACACTTTTTCGCTGGAGCAACACGCACGTGTGAGTAACGAGCCAAGAGCGAAGCTTATCAGACACTATTCCAAGAATATCTCGGACGTCAGTCTGAGCAACATTAGAGTGGCTCTTGACCATCTTAAGAATGGCAAAGCATCAAGAGAGGACGGAATTACAGAAGAGCTGCTGAAAGCGAGAGGAGAACCAGTACTATTGGTCCTTCAGAAGCTCTTTAATTCCGTCCTTCATGATGGTGCTAGACCAGAGACGTGGAACAGAAGTGTGGTGGTGCTGTTCTTTAAGAAAGGTGATAACACTCTCTTGAAGAACTATAGACCATATACCTTCTGAGCCGTGTCTATGTGATGTTTTCAAGAGTCTCGCTTCCAGATTCGACTTCCAGCCTCCGGAACAAGCCGGTTTATGAAAAGGCTTGTGTATAATACACCACATACACACTGCGGCAGATTATACAGAACACCGGAGAGTATAATTTGCCTATATGCCTAGCGTATGTGGACATTGAGACTAAATTCTTCAACCAATGTGTGTTGCCAGTGATGACATACGGAACCGAGACGTGGCCCTTCACTGTTGGCCGTATGAGGAAGCTCAAAGTCGCTGAGCAAGCTATGGACCTAGTTATATCCGCGGGGAAGATATTCGCAATAGAGCAAAGATAACCGACATAGCTCAGAAGGTTAGTAAGGCCATACAGCTCGCAGAACCGATTACAGTCTCGTACTAGCCATCGCAGTGTAGGACGACCACCGATGTGCGGGAAGTTGATGGATGCAGGTGGCTCAGGATCGTACTTTGTGGCAGTCTGTCATTGTCTGTCTATGTTCAACACTGAGCTTTAACAGGCTGCAATGATGATGATAATGAGGACATTGATGTTAATATCACAAGTAGAAAGTTTAGTTATATTAGTCTAGAATTACCATTTTTGCTATTATAAACTCTTCCTCGCGCTAATCCGAACAATTGTTCTGCAGAATCAAGCAATATCCACCCAGAATTCACCTTTGCATACTCAGGTGTCCTGTATTTTCTAACAAGTGCATAAAATGATATAGGGTCATCATGTATTAAGTTTCTGCAAATGTGTTAAACATTAAAATTAATTATAATTGTTGTGTATTGATAAAGGATCAATATTATATTATTAAATAAATAAGATTTAAATTATCAACTTACATAACCATACTTCTTAGAACTTTCAAATCCTGGATATACTCTTTTGTTTTGGTGCTAAGTTGATGCCAAACACAGTCCAACTGTGATTGAAGTATTTTGTGGAATTTTTTTGTAATGCAATTCTCTGTTGTAATTTCCTTAAAAATATCACAAAAAGATAGGTGAATAAATTAACAAGCAAAATAACAGTTATGTCTATCCCATTTTATATTTATGGTATGAAGTTGAATTATTTATTATTTTTTTACTGGCCAGCAGTACTTGTTCAATATCCCACCAATGTCCACTATATTAAGTAGAAATATACTCTTACATGGTATACACATTAGCCTAGTAATGAACTATTCACTCTTACTTATTATATTACCTGCATATCTAGTGTTCTATTAATACTTTTTAATTGTTTCACTGTGTAATTCATAATGTCCAAAAGGCATAATTGTATATGATTTGATTTTGGTGTCAGTGGTACTTGCAGCTCAACCACTTCCGCTTGCCTATTTTTAAGGCTTTTAATGATAATACCATGAAACCTATCAAACACAGAAAATACAGTTTACCTACATTATAACACAACATAGAAAAAAAAAAACAGTATGTTATAATATTGTGATATTTTTTTATTAGTAAAACTATTTTATACATTATATTGTTTCATCTTAATGTTGAATAGTAATGTTTTCTAGCAACCAGAAACACTGTAAAGACTATTCCAAGATCATTCAATGCCATATTATTTTTGTTGGCAAAGTACAAATTATCCCTAAAATGCAGTTTTTCAAAAAATTTGAGTCTTAGACCCGTTTTATTTCAGCTCAAATGGAAAATATTATTGTTATAGTTATTAAACATTTTGGTCCAAATAATTACTATTACAGACAATATACAAGATGTTCTTCTATAAAAATGCATTAAACAATAATGTCTATAGAAGTTGTATCAATGTATTTCTTACCTAGGCCATAGATACAGCTCTGTCAAAAAGAGCGCCCTCATAACTTTTTCAACTTGATTGTAGCCAAATGTAAATGAAATTGGAGAATTTGAAAATGCCTTAATAAAACCTGTCTGAAAGTTATAGATTAAATACAACAGTAAGAAAAAATTTGTAACACCTGTATAACTACAACTGACTGATTCATACATTCAGACTTTTTCATTCATTGCCACAGCGTTGCATTACAAGTCTCTCCTTCTAACAGTATGTTTTATCTCTTTTAGATTCATTCAACCCATTCGTATGCTTTGTTACCTTTAAAAATGAACTGTACGTTACAGTTTTATACCTAAGGGTGTTCTAAAAATTTTTGTTTAGTAAAATTTAATAACTCTGTAAATATTGATGTTTAAAGAATGTAAATGCTTAATACAATTTTAAAAAGTTATCCTCTATATGTGTGCTCATTTATTGTCGTGGTTGTAACGACACGCTGTATAAAGTCATTGTAAAAGTTTGTATTACATTTTATTTAAAAAAATCTATATTTAAGTTTTACAGAAGCTATATATCATACCTTATTTTTTTGCCTATACAGTCTTAAGGCAAATGCTTCCTGACATGACTCCAACACAGAATGTGCTCTTAAAACAATAATACCCATGATGTGACTGATAGGAATTCTACATTTTAATAGATCAACTACTAAAATACGAGTTGAAATAAAAAATATTCCACCTTCCAAATATGACTTAGCCCTGTAATAAATAAATCAAACATTAAAAGGTATATATAAAAATGGGACAGCTGTTCAAATTTGTAATTTTGGGTTATAGCTGTAGGAAGATATGAAAAAGCTTAAAACAACTTTTTTTATCACCTGCATGACCAGTTATAAAATTAGATGAATAGAAACAATTATTTTTCACCTCTTTTAATTCATATTTTTTACATTGTACATAATATTATATATAAAATAATATAATATCATAATATATTATCCATAAATAAACACAAAGGGCGAGACCTTGTAATTAGGAGTAGTGATTATTTGTAAGGAAAGTATCACATATATTCAAATCCCCTCTAAAAATCTGTCAATTCTTTTATTTATTAAGGCGCTGTACACAGTGAATTTTTTTGGGTGGTGAAGTATGAGGAAGCGGAGGATGGGTAACGCCGCTTAACGCGCGAGTTTCGTCAACGAGCCGCTAGACCAAGTCATTCATTACCTAGTGTGTGTGTAGTGATGGGCCGTAGGGTACTATCGATAGTATCATGGAAGGCTTTCGAAAATGTACACAGATGATCCCTATAATATCTTTTATAGAGATTGATTGTATTTTACTTTTATATTATTATAGGAATAATTATACACAAATAAATATAAAGTATGGGCCAGCAATCAACAATTTTAGAAAAACTTCCTATTATTTATTTTAAATTATCAGGAAAGGATCAGAATTGATTAAAAATAGATCTTAAAGTCAGATAAATTAATAAAGGCAAATGATACATTTCTTACAACAAAACAATCAATAAATGAATAATTATTTATTTTGATTTAAAGTAATAGCTCATAAAAATCACTTTCCATAGACCTCGTGTAGCCTGTTAGTCCGAGCGTCAAACACAACGGTAAAATTTTTGTAGTCCCAAGTTCAAACCTTTATCGAGTTGAGTGGTATTTTTTATATTATTTTCACTTTTAATTTGTTAGCCAACAAATTATTTTGTTTTTATTTTATAAAATGGCTCAATTTGGGAAATAAACAAATTAATAAAAAAATTATAAAACAATTATTTTTCGTGTCTAAAATAAATTTTCGTTTTAGGGTGAAAAATTAAATATTTTAATAAAAAAAAAGATAACGTTAAAAAATTTTAATACTAAAAGTTGGTTTATTTACTGATAGATTGTTCTCCAACTGTTTCAACTTTGAACAAATACAATAATATTTTGTTGTAATTATTAATGAAAATAAAAAATCAACAAAAATTAAATGGTAATTAAAAAATACTTCTAAATAAGAAAAACAACAATAAGTACAACAAAAAAAAATTATCAATTTGAACCCAATCCATAAAGATTGATGGTCCTGTATACTGTATGTATAGGACTGATAGACCAATCAATCACGACATAAGACATTGAAATTACTCTCTAAATAAATAAATTAACAACTGTTAAAACATACAAATAATTTATAAATACGAAATACGTGAATACATATTTTTTAGTTTTGTGTTTTCGAAAGTCTAATAAAATTAAAACTCAAAATAAATAAATATGGGACATATTTCGTGAATGGGCAATGAGTGGCATAGGTCCATCTAGCAAGGCGCCTCAGCGCCTTTGTTCAATGTGTGGAATTGGAAGAGAACCGAAACAACGCCGCGGTGGCGCGGTGTTTTGGTTGTCGCGTTCAAATTAATTTTAATGAATTAAATTAATATTTACAAATGTCTTACTTCAATCAACAAATTAAGACAACAGTCCTTTTTATTACTGTATTCTACACCACTGATATTAATTTCATTAAGATTTGTCCATTTATTATATCTATTTTTTTATTTGAATTTAACGTTTAGAGGTAGGTTTGTGATTTTTTTCTATCGAGAAAATATATCGAGAACGTGTTTTGAAAACAATGGTCCATTAGAATGTAAGATCAAGATTAACATATATTTTTTTTTTGCTTGTATAAAATGAAAAACCTATTTTTACTACATATAGCGCCTTAAAAATTAGTTTTAAAATCAGCAAGAGCTGCAGAAGTAATGTCCTTAAGCAAATATAATTACAGAAGTATTATAATTATCATAAATGCAAACAATTCCCTGTAACTCAATGTACATATTAATAAAAATTTTTTGGTAAATAATAACATACAATCACCTTTCAGTTCCAATATTTGGTAGTGGGTTTAAGTTGAACTTTGTCATAAAATACTTTTCTTCATCATCACTGCTATTTACAACTAAAATTAAATTACCAGGGTCTTTGTAAACCCAAATTAAGTTAGCTAAGACTTTATTGTAATTTATACCCCTGAAATGAAGTAAAAATTAGTACCTATTTATATTTTATATTAAACTCATTGATATCTTTTACATACTTTGCCATAACTAAAAGGGCATCTCTTTCTTGCATATCAACAAATATCTGCTTTTCAAATGGGAGCATGGGGTACTGTGTTTCTAGATTCGGATCAACAACCAAATCTGTATCATTACTTGATTCCATGATTCTAGCTTCTAAATCACTATATCTTGAATGAGTATTCACTTATTCTAATTAGTATTAAACATAATAAACGTGCGAAGAATCTGTAAGAATAGCGAATTGGGTGTTTTATTTTCAACTACAAATATGTAGGTAGGTAGGGACTCTGTCAGTTTTTTTACATTTTATAGCAGTAAATATTATTACTTAGGAAAGCGTGTAATATATTGAATTGTTTACCTGATACAATTTTTTTAACTATTTCTTTAAGGTAAACATACGGATAGATTTATCCTTTGCATTGCAGTTTTGCAGGAGCGGCTCGCTCGCTATCGCTTGCATTTGCAGTTGTCAAGTGTCAACTTGTCAACTAAGTCAAGTGTCATTCAGTTGTCATTTTGTTGACTCGTGTTCTTGGCTTGCATTCCTGGACACTGTGGTCTGTGGTATGTGGAAGGTAATTGTAGAAGCTGATTTATTGGCAAGGAATGCTATTTTGAATGGTCTCCCGCAAGATACTATATTTTCTCACGATCTTGTATCTTTTGCAAAGAGGAGTCTCATGGTTAAGTGGAACTCTAACTATGGATATTAACATAGAAAGGGAAATCATTATGCTTCCATTTAATCCTCAGTTTCCACCAATGGTTTTTCAAATTTAATAAAGCAAGCAAACATGCAATATCTATTATTGTGTGCTGGTTAAGAATTGGTCATGCTTTCACCCATATCCACATTGCTAAATTAACACGTTAACTGTCCATACACCAGATGTGGGTCATTATGGGTTTTAACAACACGTCCGTGCCATTCATGTGGGGCACTGCTCCCTTGAAACATAATGGGTTCCTACTACATGGACATTACAGAAACTTACTTATATCGTACATGGACGTATAAGCCATTATAGTATATGTGAAATAAAAACACAATGAGCCATGAAAATTTAACCTAAAAACAGTATTTATGAGAAATATTTTTTACGATAATCGGGCGGCCCCAAAACTGAAGGCCGAGGTTCGTGTCACGATCATTTACACACTTATTTTTTTTACTTTTTTTTCTATACCAGATCATTGCTTTCTTTATTTTTTATTTATTTTATTTCCAAAATACATGATTTACTAAAAAAAACCGAGCTAAGCTCGGTCCTCCAAGTACTTTCTATTGATTGATGAATATCTTGATATTGTAGATTTGCCTCCCACCACCGTGATTCCGGTTGTGAACAAAGTGTCAGCATTTAAAAAGAAGAGCAAATCCGCTATAGGAGTTTGAGACGTTGAGGAATAGTGGGTGGTAATACCAAGCCATCCTTCTCCCAATAACTTAGCCCTGTTAACAAGTACACGCCAATGAATTTTTGAATTTCCATAAAGGTTACATTTCTATAGCGCTTTATACGAGAATTATCTTTCAAAACAGGCTTTGCCAGCTGTTGTGAGGCATACAACTAAGATTCGGTAACAAAATCAATAACATCTTCCATCCATGATTTGGCTGCTAAAACTTTCGTATGGGTGATAATCAGTTGGCCGTAGTGAATCCCTTTTACCCACAGGTAACGCAAGATTTTTATAATTTTACACCTCCACGTCCATAACACAATTGTATGTCTTGTATCTTGTATTAACTGATGTTTTTGCTTTCAGTCCCGAGACTGTTAAAGCTTCATCTGACGCAGAACCGGTGGGCTAGCCAGAACCCACGGGTTTGGGCCCTCCGCTGTGGTTAGGGCCACGCATGTGCTCAAGCGTGCGTTTAACTATGGTGTGTCATCTAAGCGCCATCGAGGTCGCGGTTCGGACCGAAACCCCGATGGTCGTCGACTGTGCAATTAGCTAATCGGTGGCTGGGGGCGGTGAGAACCGCCCCGGAACGCGGGTGTACCTTGTGTACGCGTTGTGTTGGTCTCGCCGTGCTCGGAGGCGAGGGCGAACTAGTGTGTTTGTTGTTGCAATAACTGTGGGTGTAGTGTTGTCCGGCGGGACCCCCGGCGTTGGGTCCGGCGTATCTAAGTCCCCTTCCTCGACCGGGTCGATTAGGACGTTTCACGGGCGACGCTTATTGACGTTCTCGTTTGTGTCGGGTTGGTAATTTACTGCGCTTACCACCAGAGGGTTGGGATGGTGTTCGGCTCTATCGAAGAACCGTTTGGTCAGGTGCGTAAGACATAATAGGTCGTACACAGGGCTATATAAAAATAATTTGTGCCTTAAGGGCATTTTACTTTTAGCGTTAGTTAAATTGTGTAGCCGGCCGGAGACGAACGCGGCTCTATTGCGAACGTTCTTAATGTGCGTAGTAAATGACATACGCGAGTCGAAAGTGACTCCTAAGTATTTGACCTTTTTCTCCCAGGGGAGCGGTTGGCCATTAAGGCATATTTGCCCCAACTTTCTGCATTGACGAGGGCCATTATAAAGATGTGACGGGTAAGTACTTCGTGTGAAGTGAATCGCCACACTCTTTTCGGGATTTATTTCTATTCTCCATTTGCGGAACCAAACGCCGAGGCGGTCGGCAGCGTTTTGGAGTCGAATGGTGACTTGTCTAAGGTGGTCTGAATAAAAGGGCGCCGTATCATCCGCGAAAAGCGCGAGAATGACGTGGGGGTCTTTAGGTATATCGCTCGTGTAGAGCGTAAAGAGCAAAGGTGGGAGGCAGGAGCCTTGTGGTACGCCGGCCGTGAGGCGGCGGCTTGTGGAGAGGGTGCTTTCAACTCGATATCGAAAAGAACGCTTCGACAGGAAGGCCCGGATGGTGTGTACTAGCCCATCTGGCACTTTGAGTGTGTACAGCTTGTAAAGCAAGGCGTTGTGCCAGATATTGTCGAATGCTTTTGCGACATCGAAGAAAAGAGCCCCTGTACTAATATGTTTAGGGTGATTTAGGCCTTTTCGGATATGTTCCGTTAGGCGGAATAGTTGATCGGGACAGGAATGTCTAGCTCGAAAGCTGAATTGTTCCGCCGGCAGAAGGCCGTTGGAAAACACGTGCTAATTGCGCCTGTTTAATAAAAGCTGCTCGTAGAGCTTCCCCAGGCAACTGAGGAGGCTGATGGGACGATAACTAGAGGGCTGGTTGGCTGGTTTATTCGGCTTGCGAATGCAGATAACCGTGGCTTCTTTCCAGTCGTCCGGAAAGGAGCTACTGGTGAGTAAAGTATTGTAAATGGTCGCCAGACCATTTACAATACTTTACTCTGTAAACAGATAAGCGGCCCAGGGAGAACTTTAAGAATTTTGTTACTAATATTATCTGCGCCCGGGGCGGATTTGGGTTTTAAGTTTTTAGTAATATCTTGAACCTCTTCGGGGGCCACTGAATTCAAAGGATTGCCTTCCGGTGGAAGCGCAGCCCTAATCTAGATTACGCGGTCCACCTCCGTTAGGTGGGCTGTATCGATGTGTTCGCGCGATGGCGTACATTCATTACATACTAAATTCGTAGCTTGTACGTCTGTGACATATATGTGAGTAATCTTCAAAATGGGGTTTATAAGGTTCCTCCCCTGCGGCATAAAGACAAGCATCTCAATACGTACGAACGAAAAAATAAATTTGACGTGAAAGCTAATTTCAAAAAATTTGCAGGACAGTACACGTGTGGATCAGGATAATTATTCTTTTTGCGAATGTGGATTAGATGAGGGAACTACAGATCACATATTTTTTAACTGTTCAAAGTTATCTTCCTCATTGAATGATTTTCTTCCTTCCTATATTCCTCGTATAGAACGATTTTAATTCTCTTTACAGCTTCCTCTTTTGTTTGTTATTTCTAATTTTATTACTTCAAATAATAGTAGGTTGTAATTGTTTGTCTTTACTAATTTAGTTGTACACCGGGTGCGCCTTTTGTTATAGGTGAATCAGCAGACACTGCCAAAATAAAAGCTAATAAATAAGTCATAGTATTTTCACATTGCTATGTCATACAGAGTTACTATAATATCAACTTGGCTTGTTTAACTATAGTGAGTAGTTATCAGTGAGAATTAACAGTGTTCATTGTCGTATTCATTGAAAACCGCCAAAAAAGGAAAGAAGAAGAATTAACAATACTTTTAAATAATTTATTTGTTAAATAATTTTTGAGTAATAATTTCTTTCTAGTAATAAAATGTGCTTAGATTTTTTGAAGTGTAGTTGGCTCATTATTCTTTGTATTTATATGCTATTTTTCCAAACGCGCCAAAAGAAGTACATATAATTTATAAAATATCGAATTTAATGATGATTTTGTTTGTTTAGAAAAAATCGGTTATTAAAATGGACAAATTACAATTACTATTTTCACATTAAAAGAATACATGAGATAAAAGTCATAATGTAAATAAAATATAGCGTACAGTTTTTACTTTTCATTAAGTATAACTATTTTCGGAAATCATAAGATGACAATGAAATTGTTTTAGGCGACTGTTTAAATCGGCTCATATGTTTATTATTACCCGGGATAGAAAAGCAGTTTTTCTCACAAAGTGATATTTTTAATATTTTATTAAGTATTAAAAAGTTTTCATTTCTATTAAACAATCAACTGTAATCTACTGTTAAAAGCAAATTATATCAAAAAGTAATTTGAATTGTTTGAAATTCGAAAAAAAAAAACAATGTAGATAAAAGACGTTGACAAAGTCAAAAAAAAAAATTAAAATGACCACAAAGCGAATGAAAACGTTTATTCTTCTACAAAAATTGAGATGGATGCAGTAAATTAATAAATTTAATTGTAATAATAATAACAATGTTCGGGTTTAGTTGCTCCTTCATAATACCTATATGCAGATCTTTGTCAAGCGACACAGTACCATAATATATACCATCCACAGTTAGCACCTCAAAATTTAGATAACTTTGTCATTAATGGTTTTATATTACTCTTAGCATAAAATATAATTATATCAACCAGAATATTACAGAATAAAAAAAACTACGCAAGCACACCAACACACGCCACACTCGCCGGCGAGTGCAGCACACATATACTAGGTTCCGCCACGTACCTGGCAGGTTCTCCCCAGTTATTGATAGAAGCGTTGTTGGAGTTTCTTCCGCCACTTCTTCTCCCAGCGCCAATGCTTTCCGAAGTGGTAGTAATTTTAGATCTAGAAATTCTTCCAGTCAGATAATAGCTGCCGATCGAGCCGAGGTCCAGTCCTCTCGGGCTCCCTCGAATCTGAATGCTAAACGTTTATTGAGTGACAGCCCAAGCCGAGGCCCCCTCTCGGAGACCGTCGATCCCAGTCACTCCATGGAGCGTCCGCCAAAGTGCCCTAAGAGCTTCGCGGCTTCTCAAACCAGTAATGATAATAAAAGTGAGATGGCCCGAGCCAAGGCTCCCTCGGGATCCCACGAGCTTAGTCACCATAACGCGTAATAATAATACGCCAACGTTCAGGCTAGGCGCCCCGAGTGCTAGGCCACCTCAAGCCCGTCGGAACCTTAGGGGCCCCTAAGGCCAACAGTGGCTCAAGTCAAGCCCAAAAAAAACCCCGAAACAGAAGACCGTGGTTCGTGTCACGATCATTTACACAATAATTTTTTTTACTTTTTTCGATTCTAGAACATTGCTTTCTTTATTTTTTGTCGATCCAGATGATTTTATTATTTTTTTCCCTTTTTTTTAATTTCTTTCTTTTGTGAAAAACATATTTTCTTATTATTACTTCGGTAAGATCGAAAAATATAATGCATATTTCATTACTGAGTAATATGTATCTAAATGTAATTTCCAAAATACATGATTTACCAAAAAAGCCAAACCTTTGCTCGGTTTGGTTATTTTTGGTAAGCTCGGTTCTCCAGGTACTATAACTAATGGTTTGGAATGGATTAGTTTAATATTTTACTTTATAATTATTTCATTATATATATATATATACAGATTCAAAATGTAATAAAGATGCAAGTAGAAAATTTATTTACTTCTGTGAGTGAATGGGAACGTAAGTGTGACGAATAAGTCTTTTAGAAATAGCTTCCTGTCCGCCATTTTGAGTCACTGCCGCTACGCTTGTGGTGTCGTATTGTGCGTATATCCAATTAAAATTGTATTTTAGAAATACTTATCTAATACTTTATTAGTATTTTAATTTATATATTTTTACGGTTAATTAAAGCTAATTAATTAGCTTTATAATTACTAATATAAGGATACTTCGTGTTTTAGACAATGCAAATGCAAGGCATGAATCAATATGGAAATCGAGGATTTGGCGGACCCCCGCAACCACAAAGGCAAGGAGGTCGCCGTGGATACAATCGCGGTGGATTTCGTAATTCAAGATTTGATCATAACAATCAAAGGAATCAGAATAATGGACAAGGAGGTCAACGACCCAATAATGAGGTATTTCAAGTTTACGTATAAATGTGTTTTAATTACTGGTCTCATTTATTATAGTTGAAATTTAGAAATCTCATTTATTCCAAAATCAGAATGTGATGGCTTCGAAAAATATATTTTTGTAATCTGGATGCCCGCCATTTTGTGTAGTCTGCATCATTGAGTTCCGTTAGCGTGCTGAATTTCAACGCCACGCATTTAATTCTTTCAAGCTTTTACCAATTACCTAGTATTGTTTATTAATACTCTTGTTGCAATGCAGCAGTTAATTTACCTTAAGAGGCGTCCTAGTTTTAGGTGCTTTTTTTTAAAATTGGTAATTAACATTTACAGAGTAGATTTATTTAATTTTATTTAGTGGATTTATCACAGGTAGTTTCAAAGGAATTTAGAAAATGGAGAGGATAGAATGTCTTAGAATTATTAAAGCGAAATAGCTCCTCCTAATTGCGTTTTCTTAATTTCTTGTGCTTAAAATCTAAAAAAGATTACAAGAAACGTTTAAAATCCCCATGGGCTTCTAGGCGGAAGTTTTTTACTTTTAAGTTTCTCTTTAAATGTAGACAATATTCACTATTTTAATTTTCATGTTAGGATTGAACAACATTATATTTAATACAAACATTGAAAATGTTCAGCGACGTTTACATACTTTTTATACAAAAAAAATAAAAATAAAACCTGGTTCTTTACTTTAGGGATCTATGTACTATATTAGCGAAAACTATAGGGCCTTAATGTTAAATTAACTTTAATATTACTTGATAATATTACCTTTTTTATTTTATAAATAAGTACCTTTATTATTTCAAGTAGCTAAGCTATTTTATTGTATTAAAAAACAAGCTGGTCAAGTGCAAATCCAACTCGATACTCCATTTACCATACTTTTTTTCAAGTTCTTTTCATGAGAAAAAAATTTTAGAGCAAAGCTCTGTCATAAATGAAACTAATTTTACGGATTTATCGCGTTTATTTTTAATTTTAATTCCCGACGTTTCGAACCCTTTACAGCGTTCATGGTCACGGGACAGACGTCGGGAATTAAAATTAAAAATAAACGCGATAAATCCGTAAAATTAGTTTCATTTATAATGTGTAATCGCGTAAATACAAGAAATTATTAAAGCTCTGTCATTCAAGTACTAATAATAATACAAGATACCTTGTTGGCTAAATTATTACTTGCCATTCTGTTTTAATTTGTTACCATGTGGTATTACTAGGTAAATTTCTTCTATTTTTTAGCCAGTAAAGCAACCACCTGTTGTTGAGAAGCAGCAGCAGCCACCACAAAAGGATAAGCCCAGTGAGGTAGCTCAACCGTCACCTGCACCAACGCCTACTCCACCTCAGCAACCACAGCAGCAGGTAAATCGCAATCAACAACAAAACCAACGGCAGCAGCAACAGCAGCCACAGCAGCAGCAACAAAACCAGCGGCAACAACAACCGCAGCCCCCACAGCAGCAGCAAAACCAGCGTCAGCAGCAAACTCAGCCCCCACAGCAGCAGCAAAATCAGCGCCCGCAGCAGCCTCAACTGCAACAGCAGCAACAAAAGCCTCACAATGTTCAACAGGTCAAGCCTGAATCTCAAGACAATGTTGATAAGGCTATCATTAACAATGAGCAAAAGAATCAGGGCCCTAATATCAGTCAAAATCCATTCCAAAAGGTAGATGAGATTTTATTACTTTTAACTGTGAATCAAACCTTGTATTTATTTTTCTGTCATGTTATTAACAATTGTGTGATAATTGTAGAATGTCAATGGTAACTTCGGTGGTAGTAACAAACAAGGTGGGACATGGAGTCAAGGTGGCCAAGGCGCGCCAGGTGGATCTCACAAGCAAAACCAGAATCAAAAACCATTTGGTTCAAAATCTGGTGGGGGACCAGGGCCAGCACGGAATCAGCAACGCAACAGTATGCGTGGACCACCACAGGATGGAAAACCGGTTCAGCGTGAGGTAACAATATAAACCTGTAGATAGTAGACCTTTAAAGTGACCTTTGGTTATATATTGAAATTATGCCCAAAAATTGATAGTGTGTTTCCATTACATTTTTGTGTGTTTGCTGTAAATGAAACACATTCGATAACGCCAATATTGCTAAAAATGCAATATAGACAAAGGGGATAAGACGTCGAGATTTTCGCGTTGTGAGGCTGTCCACCATCTTACCTTTAAACCTTCAGTCACACACAGCCAATATTCTCTGCGATAAGCACGCGCACTGAGAATTTGCTGTGTTTTACAGGCTATACCACTGCAAATAGATTCGTTCGCCGCGAGCTGAATTCCCTAATGATGTGAATTGAATATGTTCAATTTTACTCTCTGCAATTGCGCATTCGCCGCGGGAATTCACCGTGTGAGGATGGGTACTTGCAGCGAGTATACGAAATTTGTATTTTGAGCACCAACAGACTTAATTCTCGCTCTTAATTCGCTATGTGTGTCATTTAGGTAGCGAAATGTCGTTGCGAGTATTATTCGCAGCAAATACCCTTGCAACGAGAATTCGTAGTGTGTGACTGAGGCTATTCTATAGCTAGTGGCTACGATTAGACTAGAGTGGCTGGACGCCCTAGTCCCTAAAACGGGCCCATATTTATACATCACATTGGGTATGAGAGACCATTATGGATGTGTAACGTTTAAATGATCCCTATGCAAGCGGAGCGTCTTCAGCAGTGCGGCAGCTTGTTTACGCGTTCTTATTGGATAAAAACAGTATTACAATAATTTACGACATCATATTTATAAACATTTATGTATTTCCTAAAACAAGTAATTATACACTTCAAAAACCTTCCGTTAAGCTACTGTATACATAAAGATTGCCACTAACTATAGAATACTTTTTGAACATTTATAAACTCAATTCATTATTTTTAAATGCAGGAGCAAATGTTGGCCAATAAGTTAAAAGATCTTGTGGGACCTTTGGTTGATTTGCCTCCAATTGACCAAACCGAAGTGAAGTTCAATGGCAGAAGTAGATTGTACATTGGAAATCTAACAAATGACATTACTGAAGAAGAAATTATAGGCCTGTTTAGTCAATTTGGCGAAGCCGCCGAACTGTTTGTCAACAAAGAAAAGAACTTTGGATTTATAAAAATGGTGAGTAATAAAAATTTTTACTCTAAATTTAATTGTTATAATAAACCTTGAATATTTAATCTTCATTAAAATGACTTTTCGTTGTACAGGACTACAGGGTGAACGCAGAAAAAGCTAAAAGGGAACTTGATGGGCAAATTAGGAATGGTCGCACACTTCGAGTGAGATTTGCTCCACATAACAGTGCCGTTCGTGTAAAGAACCTCCCCCCATTCGTGTCGAATGAGCTTCTGTATAGAGCTTTTGAAATATTCGGAAAGATAGAACGCGCTTATGTGAGAGTCGATGAAAGGGGGAAAACATTGGGGGAAGGTGTGGTGGAGTTTGCGCGCAAACCAAGCGCTCTAGCTGCGATCCGCAACTGCACAGAAAAATGCTTTTTCTTGACTTCGTGAGTTTCTATATTCATTATACTTTTATTTTTCTACTTTATCATTATCAGTATGATGTTTTCGTACGAGAAATAAACAAAATTTTAGTTGACCAATTTTTTTTTGTCAGATCTCTCCGCCCTGTGATTGTTGAAAACTTTGAGGAGCCTGATGAGTTTGATGGTTACCCAGAGAAGAATTTACCTAAGAAACACCCAGAATATATGCGGGCCCGTGAGGTATGTCTTATAAATGCTATTTCAAGTTTTTTCTTTTTATATTTTAGTTTTATCTAATAATTTGTGACCTTTAAGGTCGGGCCCCGTTTCTCGGAGGCGGGCAGCTTTGAACATGAGTATGGTACAAGGTGGAAGCAGTTGCATGAACTTCACCGCCAGAAGGAAGAAGCGCTTAAAAAGGAGTTGGCGGCAGAAGAAGAGAAACTTGAAGCTCAGATGGAGTATGCTAAGTATGTAATATTTCATTAACGGTATCTTGTTAAGAATTCACAGCATTAGCAACTATTTTTTGTAGCATTGCAGTAAATAATAGTGAATGATAACCGCGAAGCCGAATTCACGTAAGTATCGATAGATATAATTTCGCATAAATACATACAAATTACTTTTATTTGGGACTATAGAAAATAATAATTTATAAAACAAATGATTTTAATAAAATTTTGGATAACAAAAATACAAAATCTCAAATCGAAGTTATATTGATGTAGAATAATATTAGTTTTGTGCACTTTAAAGCCATATAATATAAACTTTAAGTATGTCCAGTTGGACATACTTAAAGTTCCTTGCTGGCAATATTTTTAAAAAGGGATTCATAATTTTCGCCTGATATATTTATATGTATATTATACAGCGTGTCGTTACCACCGCGGCAATAAATGAACACACTTCTGACGCTACTTGCCAATAATCATAAAAAATATTAACGTTAAAAAAATCCATAATTAAAAAAAATATTTTTCAAACAAACTAATTAAGTAAAAAAGAAACAAAATTTGTAACATCCTATACAACTACAACTGACTGATTCATACATTCAGACTTTTTCAGTTGTTACAAGCCTCTCCTTCCAACAGTATGTTTTGTCTCTTTTAAATTCATTCAACCCATTCATATGCTTTGTGACCTTTACAAATGAACTTTACGTTACAGTTTTATACGTAAGGCTGTTGTAAAATTCTTTGTTTTAGAAAATTTAATAACTCTGTAAATATTGATGTTTAAAGAATGTAAATGTTTAATACGATTTTAAAAAGTTATCGTCTATATGTGTGTTCATTTATTGTCGCGATTGTAAAGACACGCTGTATACGGGTTATGAATCGCTGTTGTTGCTGTTTTGTGTAAACAAAGAAGCTAATGAGAGCCAGAGTAAATTAGGCGTGCACGAGCAGCGCGCTAAGTTTTTTTTTATATAAGAAGTTGTAAGTTAGCTTGCGGTTGACCTGATGTTAAATGATAACCGTCGCCGACGTACATTTGCAACATCCGAAGGGTCGCAAATGCCTTGCCGCCTTTCAATAAAGTGGGCCCCAGTCACCTCATTCATTGAGACTAATACTCCACGGCGATCTTCTGTGAGGTCGCAAAAACTTGCGGGATTTAGTAGCGTCGTGTTAGTTGCGTCGCGTTAGTTGCGTCGCGTTAGTGGCGTCGCGTTAGTAGCGTCGTGCTAGTAGCGTCGATTGAGTGGCTTCGCTCGGTCGTCAGGTACGAGCACGAGACGGAGCTACTGCGCGAGCAGCTGCGCCAGCGCGAGCAGGACCGCGAGCGGCAGAAGCGCAGCTGGGAGATGGCGGAGCGCGCGGCGGACGAGCGGCGCGACGCCGAGCGCCAGCAGCTGCTGCGCCAGGAGGAGGAGCTCGCGCAGCGCATGCGCCTGCAGGACGACGAGCTGCGCAGGCGCCAGCAGGAGAACACGCTCTTCGTGCAGGTGCGCATATGCGTGCAATCGGTTTTTTTTTAATACCACAACGTGGCGCCGTCGCCGGCGTATCTGTTTCGGATTCCCACACGGCACAACTGTTTGTGTGGTACCCACAGGTGGTTGTTTCGCATCTCTGGGTGTTTGTTCGCGTGAAGTTAATGCTTGTAAAACGTCATTGCAATAAAGGACAATGGTGTCCTTAAGTAAGGGCAATGTAGAAAAAGAAAAAGTTTTTTCTTGTTTTGGCGGGTTTCGGATAAATTATGAGGGTTGTATATGATGATGAAAGGCACGTGTACCCCGACAGACAAACAGCGACGTGATAACAACTTCTTGTCAACTTGGAATTGTACAACAGTACCAATTTGTTGTGAATCAAAGCGTTTTCAATTGCATTAAATCTCTTTTTCACGATGATACTATGTACAAATACAATAGATATGACATTGGCGCACCGAAACTGAAGCTAATTTAAATGATTACGCCAATTGATGTAGTTAGATTGCAAGTCTATAGACTGCTATCTCTCTCCGTATCATACATTCTATATCATCTGTCACATTCACTTACTTGTCATATAAAGGGGAACAATTTTTAAAGGCCATCGTGATTAAAACATTGCTTTTTCATAAATAAAGTACCGGCATAGACACAAAAAGTACTCGTTCTCTGGTTTGTAATTATTCCCTTTCTCCACAGGCCCAGCGACTGAATTCTATCTTGGATCGTCAAGAGCAGGGCATGTTTGATCAGCAGCAGCCAATGGTGAGTACTATTGTAAGATTTTAACGCACAAGTGCAAAAGATCTACCATTTGTGCATTATTTAACCAGAAATTACCGATATACTTTTTACATGATCATTGGATGAAATTTAAAATCTTTTTATAACTTTAATAATGAATTGTACCTTTGTAATGCTTCGATTCTCTATTTACATCAGTTTATTTAAACATGTTACATAGTAACAAATTTCTACTTAGCCTTTGTAAGCTGTGCACTGGATTTTGACTATTTCTTATGTCCCGTGTATGCCATATACAATTGGTACTTAACCATAAATGGAACCTGTGAAATGAATGCTTTACTAATTACTACGAACCTGTACTCTCGAATATCAGATTCAAATTATGCCCAATTGCTCGACAAGTGTGTTACACACTGATCTAATAAACGCTACCTTTTTTATTCTGATACTAAGTGTTTAAACCATGTGAATTTTACTCAAACATGTTTATAGGCGAAATTATGATTAAGTATATATTAATCCAAAAAATAGAGCGATCTAGAATTATAAAAACACGTTTTTTACGTTCGTATCTCTAAACGTCAACCAACTATGATTTCTCATGTATGATGATGTATTGTTGCTTGTTGTAAGGAATACGTCTTTAAAGGTGTCATGTCCCACGTTAAACACGACATTTTTGTACGTATGATACATAATTCTATGGGATCATTTCAACATTATAGGTTGAAGAAATCCATACTGCACTATTTTCAACCATCACGCACGTTATTTTTAAGAATGCAATAAGGTTGTGTGGCAGAGTGGGCTATAAGAACAACCTTCGCCCAATAGCTGGAGATACCACTATCTAACACTAAATAAAGGTTGTTATGTTAAGGGAAATAGAAAATAAACAAGCTACTTACTTAAGTACACTTGTCATTAATCTCTAGAATCTAGATAGAGTAGATGTGGCTGGTTTTTGGAATTACCAGCAACGGTAGCAACGAATACCGTAGCCCGTCCCGTTAATCGAGAGACATGCTGTGATTACTATTTAGGTCTTTGGTGGTAACACCTTTTAGCCCTCCCATTCGCTTCAATGAATAATAGCCTTTTGACCCACTCTCTCCCCACACGCTGGTAAATGGTTACGAATGATTTGTTTTTCGGTAGATTTTCGCGAGAACTGATTTCTGCACACGAATGTACGCGCACAAATATTTGAAACAAAGTACTCTTTGGTTTTTTTTAGGCTTGAGCGACCAATATTAGAAAAATATTATTTGTATATTGAAAGCTTATTTTTATGTGAGATGGTGGCAAGCGAGCTGACTGTTCATCTGATGTTAAGTGATAACCGCCGCCCATGGACATTTGCAACACCCAGATGCGTTGCCACATTTTAATAAAATCAGCCCCAGCAATAAAATCAACCTCACACACCAGACGAAACGCAGATGTATAACACTTCCACTTCACGCCGGTCTTCTGTGAGATCGATGTACGTACCCGGATAGACGAATAGGCACATTCGTGCTGAAACTTTGTATAACATATTTGCTCAACAGTTTTTGCAGCCATAATCTATATAAATTAAATATCAGGGGGATATTGGTGTGTGTGAGAGAACATTGCCCTTTCGTATGCACCGTACTTTTTCGCTTCCACGATTGATTTTGATCTATAGTCGCGAATAACATTGCTATTCGCTTCAGTTCAGTTTTAGGTAATTTTTTGCACTTGATGAGTTCTGTGACAGGGCTTGCGAAGCTACTTCTTTTATCTTTAACAATATAAATGACGCATGTCCATACCGCGCCTAAAATTGTTCCACTTTACATTATATGACATAGACATAGATATAGAACGTATGATACGGAAAGAGATAGCGGTCTGTAGAGTTGCATTCTAATTACACAATGGAAGTAACTTGAGCACTTCAGTTTCGGTTAATCAAAGGAAAAACGGTTGCATTAAAAAAAAGACTAAACATCGACAGCCGTTTACTCGACAATAAATAAAGAAATTCTATGGGATGGCTCCCAAGACGGGGACGGTGGGATGGATGACAAGAATGTGGTCAAGGGGTTACGTTTATTAGCTTAATGTGTAAAACATATTACGTCGGCAATGTGGGATTAAAATATATTCTATAAAATATAACATTACTCTAAACACTTAACGTCCGGCACCCACATTATTATTTGTACACTGACTAAAAGAAGAGATTTTATTCTTCTTTTCGATGATCTAAGTAATTTATCTATTATCTTCCATAAATTAAAGGTTTCATGTACCACGTATTCGACATTCTTCAAGTTTTGGTGGAGGAACATAAAAACATTTTTTACAATCCAATGCTACGTAAATTATTATTATCAATTTAGTTTGTAAGCCACTACGAGGAAGATGATGACGATCGAAACAATTTTTAACCTAAGAAAGAAGCATTATCAATTTGAATTTATACAAGATAAAATTTCTATATACATTTATAAAACTAAAAACTTTCGCCAATATTTATTACAAATTTGACGATTATCTTTAAACTATATCTTAACGAATATAAGGCCATAAATACGTTTAAGATGGACGAATTCGTTATTTCTTCGATTTCCGCCAATGATCGCAGAAGAATCGTGATGAATTTTATCCGCTACGAAATCGACGTACATAAATGGTTGTAATCGAAACATTCCGCATTCTTATGTAATGACGAAACTCTTTTACGGCGCACTTCAAGTAAAACGTTTGTTAGGATATTGTCTTCAACTAAAAAAGGTCATTGACCTTTTGTAATTGCGAGTTGTGGACTAAACACAAACATTTTTTTTTAATTGATTGACTACTCGAATACGCCAATGTGTCTCCTGTATTTAAAAGGTTTGTAGAAATTGTGCTTAGCGGTCGTAATTCTATATAGTATAATTTCTATATAATCTGTATGTGTATTACTGCAAGAAATTTGTATCACGAATACAAACATTACCTACGGGGCTATTTGAGACTAGCAATGATTGATTTCCCATTTTATGTGTGAAAAGGAGTAATTTCTAAAGCCACGATATTTGACAAATATTGGCAGTAAAAATCTTCTCACGTTATTACTTTCTACAGTGTAGTAAACTTTAGTTCAGTGCTAAGTAAAACAAATGAATATTATTATGTTGCCAAAAGATTGTTTAAATGAGCACCGGTTTTGAGGTAAAGATATAATTTTTATTATTATTTCATCGATGAGTATTTTTAGGGATTTATTTCATTTGAGAGTACAGTGTGATGTTAATCAAACTTCATTGAGGGAAATCCATGAATTCGGAAAGACTTCTATAATAATAACGATAGTTGATCCTTAACTAAAATATCATTATGTAAAATATATTAGTACTATTATGAAGTTTTCGATTTTTTCCTTCGTCTCCTCGTTTTTCCGGATGTATGCGGGTCTATTACCAAACTTCGTATCCTCGTATTTTTATAAACAGAACACCAAAAATACGTTAAATTTTTATTCTTCATTGTGTACTAGATTAGGTATTCAGGTACTAGATTAAATTTTATATTACCAGTATAATAACTACATTTTATGTTTACACTTTTTCGAGATTTCATTCAAATTGAAACAGGTAATTGTTTAAAAATAAAGATGACATTTAGATTGACTTTATGCTTCGTCATCCTTTATGATTACGGTTTGGTGCCACTGTAATTAGAATACAATTACGTTATTCGTAATTGTTTATTCCATTGGAGTGGTGTAAAATTGCAAATTTTGTGTCTCAGATAGCCCTATGACTGTTTACGCCCGCGTATAACTCGCGAAGCATAGGAAGTAAGTGCTGTTTGTGAGAGAGAAACGAGAAATATTGGCCACTTTTATGATTGCTCACTTTAGGATGGAGGCTTCAGGGACCAGTACGACATGCCACGTGGAGGTTATGACGACATGCCGCCGCAGAACCGCGGTTGGGAAGGACCGCGCCTTATGGACGATTACCCTAACAAGCGTCGTCGCTTTTAACTCGGGCCCTTGCGTGTGACCGGCCGCCAAGGCGCTATGGTCACGCCGCTGACCCTGCCCGTTATGGTCACATATCCCGTGACCATCGGTGGCCATTGGTTAGCTCCGAATATGAATAACCTCTACCATCCGAGACAATTTTGTGTCTATCAAATGCCGTACTATTGAAACGCCGCCGATGTAACGTTTATATGGCGCCACAAATTTCGTATTAGCGTTGACCAATGGTTGCCACCGATATCGGTGCGGTGGGGCCGAAAGCGTCTTAAATCTAGCTCGCTTAGAATTGCAGTCGAGTTATAATTTAGTGTCTACCTACCTACTTTGTTTACTGCGCGTTTCGCGATGCGAGCGCGGGTTTCAGGCGTTTTCGCTAAATAATATGATTATCAAGATATTGATGCAAAACTAGCGTTTTTGGTTTATTATATCAATTAAGATATAATAGACAAATCGAACAGTAGAGATATTAAAATTTTACTAAGTTTTCTGTCGCATACATTATTTACACATACCTACATTGTGAGGTATAAATTTAGCAGACATTGTACCCTATGTTGAAATTCTTAGTAAGTTATAATAAGATCTATTTTTTTTTTGGAAAATTTCTAAAAGGATATGCAAAATTTTTCAAGTTATTTTTTTCCCGCAGACTCCGTAAATTGTTTATCCTAGTTTGCAGAATATGTGTCAATGTTATGTGTATATTTATATTTATAAATAAATAAGATCCTTATAATTGTTTTGGATTGCTCTTTCAGTTATTTTACTTGAATCTTCATAAACATAATTATGAAACCCGTTTTAGCATTCGACTAATCTGAATCGAAAACGGGCTGCAAATATTGCGATTCATAAGCGAGATTAAAATTATAATTAAAGAGTAAGGTTTAAATTATAATCTACAGCGAGTGCAAAAGATTTATTAAGAAACTATTGTGTAAAAGATCATTTGTTTTACCAAAAACATAAAACTATGTTAACCTATTCTTTTCCTACTCTATTTAAATAAAATTTCAATGTTCGTGTTGATAAAATTTTAAAACAAGTTCAGTACAAACCTAGAGATAGCCTGCAACTTGGTATAATGGCAGAAAATATTTTGGTATTATTACAAATTCATGGTTTGTACAGTGTGTTACATTTAAAATCTATAAACGTAGTATTTCGTATATATACGTAGTATGCTGTTTGTAAAAACTGCTAGTTGAACAAGCTCGTTCGATGTTATGCACTGAATTACCTCCAATTTTCTTAATTGTGCTTTAAGGATAATGTATATCAATGGTATTTGATGACCGCGAACATCTGTCGTATTATATATAGACTATTAAATGTTTGTCGTAATTCCAGTAAAGATTAGTGTATAACATAATAATAGTTTACAAAAGGCATTTACAAGTTTGTAACTGCTTTACAATTTTTAACCAGACCTGATATTGGTATATGGGATAGGTATGAGATTAACGCCCGGTTTTTGAAACACTGATCAACGTAGATGTCAACTAATCAGCTGTCAAATGAATTTCAAATTTCATTTTAGTTGCCAAAAGGATGTTTAAACTCTTTGAATTGATCATTCTGATCATAAAGATCATTCTTCATGTTCAGTTTAACCATCTTTTTGGTACCTAACTTGTAATTTGAAATCCATTTGACAGCTGATTAGTTGACATCTAAGATGATCAGTGTTTCAGGAACCGGGCGTTACTGTTCTTTCCTAGTGTTTTTTGTATTTTTATTCTAGCACCGAAGTATGTTTTCATATTTATTTATGCATTACAAAGATAGGAAGAGTTTTTATCCCTCTAAAAATCTTTCAATTATTTACCAGAATTTCTACCATGTAGACTTTTTTTTTGTAGGAAAAGCCTACGCTATGTGAAAGAAAACTTGCTTTTTAAAATGGGACGTTTTAATATTTGTCTTAAATAGCTTATGCACGTTTGAGGATTTAATTTGTACGGAAGCGGCGTAGCTTTTATTTCGAGAAATGTTTTATTAACCAGAAGTGTTTGTACACGTATTTGATAACTTGGATTTCAACATAATAGTCGAATATTAGGAATCGTCCAAACATACCTATCCTATTTCTTTAACAATACGCTTCGCCACTGCCGTTGCATCAAATCCTCAATAATTTTAGTTAAAATAGCATTAACTTGTCAAACGGTATGAACTCGATCAGATGTGAGTGATTTCATTATAGTTTGCAAGGTATGATTTTGTATGCAAGTGAAATAGTAAGTACCTTATTAATAATTTATGGTAAATTTGTTAGGAGTGATCACTGTAATGTCTTGATTTAATGAATTTTTATTAATAAATAATTTAGATGTAAGCAAAATTAATTGACTTTGTTTCTAAAAACCTGCAAAACCTGTAAAACATTATTAATACTATTTGTAGGGTACGAAAATACATACATACATTTCATTAGACCTATACTTAACGCACGGTGGGGTGTCTAATATACCATTATGCGCCTCTTTTATTTTTTTTGATGAGCCGACTTAGATCTCTATAATTTTTGCGGCCAGTGTGACACATTTTAAGACTTACGCCCGGTTTCTGAAACACCGATCATCGTAGATGTCAACTAATCAGCTGTCAAATGGCTTTTCAAATTTCATTCACATTTAAAGATGGCAAAAGGATGGTTAAACTCTCTGAATTGACCAGAATGATCAATTCAAAGAGTTTAATCATCCTTTTGGAAACTCAAATGACATTTGACAGCTGATATCAACGATGATCAGTGTTTTAGAAACCGGGCGATAGTATTTTACCTATTAGAATAAATAAAAAGATTTATCTTTACAAGAGAGAAATGTAACATAAAACAGTAAATCTAGTCTACCCAATTTTTAATTTAGTAAAAATACAAAATGCGTTTAAAGAAGTAACGTCTTTTTGCACTGAAGCCACTTAAATCATTTCTTAACTCCACACTAAATTTAATTTCTTGTGCCTCGGCGTAATTTTGTTAAAAAGTTAGTTACATATACAGGGAGATTTTTTGAGAAGTGCCCAAATTACACAGGAGGTTCAGACTGTAGTATAATCGTTTATTGAAATAAAAAACAAAGTTTTTTTTTCCAAAAAAAAATGCCATTCTTTTCCCTAAGAAACAGAACGTGTTGACAATGCGGTAGTCATTCCTAAATACCTAAATTTTACTGTGCACGAACTTGTGTGCGTGTTTGAATGATCGCGCGTTAAAATAAATGAGTTACGTATAAATCACGCACTTTTTGAGATAAGTTCAAATGAATGTAATTAATTACTTAAGAGTGATTTTACATGTTTTTCATTTTTTATATAACATTATTTATGTCTAGAATTTAATAAAAAAAAGTGGATACACTTAGAAAAGCCACCCCTATAATAACCCTTTTATTACAAGATTTTATTTAGCTAATGTCCTGTTTGGGTTAATTCTAGTAATTGAAATTTTACTCCCTTCCCGTTGACCGATTGATCTGAATTTTTTTTCAACACCTTTAGTTCTTGACAATACAATTATATATTATATATCCAATATCATTATTAATCCAAGTTAGCTATTAAAAATGGTACATAAAATTTTTAAACCACTCAGTACACCAGGCACAAACTTTTAAATCCAAGATTGCCGCCATAACAAAATGGTGGATTACTTATTATTTTATGTCAATCTACGCGATAATGGCATCAAGTGAAAGAAGGGTTGGCCAAATAGACGCATAGTACGCTTAAAAATCTTAGTCCAACATGGCGTCAGAGTAGAAGCAGTCAACACATTAAAACGGAAATATAGGTAAACAATCAAATCAAACTACTTTGTCAAACTAAAATCGCTATTCAAGCGTGAATCACTCACCGACCCAAGACAAGTTTTCGTATCGTGTCGAGTACCGTTGGCGTTGACTAAAAACGATAGCGGACTATCTAGCATTAGGGGTTGATAAGTTGGATTCTAAATTTATTTTTAAGTCAAGCGCTTAGTATATTTTATTGTATAAAACAATGATGCCGATAATGTACTAAAAACTAAAACGTAAATAGGTCGGCACCCGGTACAGTCATCGTAAGATTGTATTTTAGTCTGTTCAGTTACTCCAGATTGATGAGGATAGTGGTGTAATCACTGGCCCTTCCCCCTAGTGAGATATCGTGAGATTTGGTTCAACCCTCATGCCCATATGTTGGCTCCAGTAGTCTCTCTGGACTGAATTAGAATGAATATTTGTATGACTGTAGTATGTATTTGTTTGTTCTTTATTTATGGAGATTATTCGCTTAGTCTTAATATCCTGGTCCTAATCAGCTCTATTATTATTTAATTTACCGGCACCGAGATTTGAACTCAGGTTGCTTGAGCATATTGATTGAAAAGCGAGCGCCTGGACCCTGAGCTATCAGGGTTGACCAAGTGAAATTTTATGTGATGAATTATCACGTGCTCAGCGGTGAAGGGAAACATCGTGAGGAAACCCGCATATTTTCGAAATAATAACAAATGTAGAATATTTATAATCAGAAGTCTGCCAATCCGCAGTGGGGTTGCGTGGTGGACTATGACCGAATCGCATCTGACTAGAGCAGTGAGACTTGTATAAGTTGTTACTTTACTTTTATAAGCCAAACCTAATCACAAGTCTGATACCGTTTTTACTTTCTAGATAGTTGGCTATTCAATGAAAGTGGCGGTTACTTACAACAGTGTATTTCTGGGCATTTAATAAACAAACTTGTTAAATTGTCAGGCTATGTATAATAGTTCTGAACCAAATACTTTTTTCTCATCTTACTTTTTCTCTCAATGTCAAATGATCTTTCCATAAACCCTGACAAATAGTGTTTGGATTTATGGAAATAAGTACACAGTCGTGTATAAGTAAGAATGTGTAAAGCCACGCAACAAGTCTTGTTGCACGAATGGGCAGGGTCGTCCACGAAAGTACTACGGGTGCTCTACCTACGTCGTTTTCTCTGGTGAGTGAGGTAACCGGGGCCCACTTTATTAAAAGGTAGGCGGCGGTTATCACTTAACATTAGATAAACCGCCAGTTCGCTTGTCCACTTACAATACAAATAAGTTTTAGTTTCATGTA